CAACAATGCCTAATCAGTGACATACTTTACAATCAAAACTTGATCTAAGAAATATTCGTAGGTACTGTTAATTCATTCTAAAGATATTTCTATGACTAATGCCAGAGAAGATACATCAATGACTAAATTACATTGGTAATAGGCATTTGGTACCTATAGGCACAATGGATTGTGGGTATAGGTACTTATTTTACCTGCTGATAATTTGAAAACATGCCCCTTAAATGTTTGTTCCTTCTGAAAATACTCAAAATCAAAATGTCATTTAAAATCGTTTGAACAGTTAAAATGAATATTTAATTTATGAACACCATGTACAGTGTTGCCAGTTTACACGATTTAAATTCTTTTTGTAAAAGAATGTGCCAATAACGATTTTTGACAACACAATTTAGATTGTTCACGATGATTTTATTTCGTTAATGATGATTTTAATTTGTAACTATTGTGTCTTGTTTTTTGTCTCATCTGGCAACACAGGTTGTATGTCTTAGCATTTGCCATAAATTTAATTGTTCGTACCTATAATCTTTCAAGGCTAACATTTTTTCTTCCCCATTAAAGAATTATCAAAGACAAAAATCTTGTATAATCCTACACATTTACCTACGTTATTAATTAAAATAAATCGTTTTTGCAAAGCATATTTATTATGTAGTTTTACTTTTAAACTAGCCACTTGGCTTTTGTTTACATTTTCATATATAAATATAATTAACTTAAACCGCATTCTAATAATAAATTTGGGCCCACACAACATTGTTATCAATTTCAAACTTTCCAAGTAAAAACTGAGCACAAAGAAGTCGGTTTTATAAGAAAGGAAATTAAATTTTCCTTAAGAACATGCCGGTAGAAAATTGGAAAACTTACACAACGTTTTGTTAAACATATTAAATAATATTACGTACACTTTTATACCATAAAAAGGCATACGCTTGCTACACTTGACCTAAAGAACCAATAAGAAAACACAAGACTTGCCTCCAGATCACCTTGGCTGATACTGCCAAATAAACAAAAACAAAAAGGGTTTCGTTTGAATCGATTTGTTTTGTTTATGTTAACTACCTATACCTACAGGGCTTTACAAAAATTATGATATTTATTAATCTTCGTGTATTAAAACCACAAAAATGTTTTGGTTTTAGTTAATGTTTTATTAAACATTTTTGGCAAGTGGAAAATACCACACGTTCGATGTATTAAATGCGGTAAAAAAGCTAGAATTTAATCAGGAATTCTTCGTAAGCTTAATATGTGCATCCATTTAATTGTAAAATAAATTAACTTGATAGCGTGCATTTTCTTTTTAATTAAATTCCTAGTTTATTCATCAGTTTATCTACACTCACCGGCAAAAAATATTTTTAATGTTGATTTCCTCGCGAACCGCTCATCTGACTATATACATATATATTTTTTTAATGTAAGGTAAGGGGTAAAAAAATATGAAGTATTTTTCTTAAAATTTGTGACACCCTGTTGCTTTTTATTCACCGTTTCGAAATTTCTGGAAAAAAACTTCTTACTTTTGCACCCTGTATATGCTCAAATTAAATATAGGTTGTATAATAATTATAGTAGCGTAAACAACCAAGCTATCTTTTGGAAATTGAAAAAAATTATTTTAGTTGGAAAACTTTAAAATCAAAATAAAAGTAGTTAGGAGTAAGATAAAGGGCTGAAACTTTTTTTCTTGATATGTAGGTAGGGACCTACATCCTACCTACATTATTATTTTTCTTGGGAAGTATCAACAAATAAATCGATGACTTTTTGCCAAAGTATCGCAAGCAACATAACCCAAATTTCGGGAATTGAAAACATTTTGCTTGTCTGTTTTAAATTAAATATAGCCTAAAGGTTTTATAACAAGTAATTACTTAGCTTATAATTATAGCTATTTACTTGTTATAAAACCTTAGGCTATATTTAATTTAAAACAGACTTTAAAACAAAAAATGTTTTTAATTCCCGAAATTTGAGTTATGTTGCTTGCGATACTTTGGCAGAAAGTCATCGAAATATCCCTTTAAAACAAACCACCCTAATATGTATACATAGGATTAGGTACATTAGGGTGGTCGTTAAAAATTAAATTTCTTGCGATGCCCCCTAAAAAGCTTCGTTTTGATGTAAAAACAGTGGGATTTTTTTTAATTGAAAACAGCACGTGCCTCAAGAAGACCTAAGTTAATTTTTTGGTATAATCATCTTTTCTAAAAATATGGAATAAATTTTTTTTTGAGATTTAAAAATTATTAACAATCAAATAACTTCACCTTGGAGTGAATAAATCTAGATATTGAAATTACGTTTGTACTTATTTAGTAGGTATTAAAATAAAAATATCAATTTGAATATCTTTCATTTTTTTGTTTAATAGACCAAATCAACTGGGAAAAATTTTGAATTTAAATTTTTGTCCATTGTTATTTCGATGAACTATTGTTTTTTTATTGATTTGGGTTCTACAGGGTGTCCGGGAAAAGGAGGTCAATCCGTTAACCATATATTCTTTGAGTTAAAACAATAAGACTTTCATAATACCATTTTTCAATTTAGAGCTTCATGTTCTATATACAAAGTTTGAAATTTAAAACTGATTTTTTTTTAATAATTCAAGTAATTGATAAGATATTTAGTTTAAATTCGGTACACTACTTTAACATAAATAGTTACATTTTTTGAGACCAACAAAACAAAAAACCATTGTCAAATAATCAAAATAGGGGGGTCCAGTACTCACTGACTCCCCCTATTTTTTAGTACGTGCGCCAATGACTTCCAAACGGTATTTTTTCAGGTAATCATTTATTGTTGAAAATTTTTTGTCCCTGATAAAATTTTGTTAAAATGATTTGTTTTAGAGATAATTTGTAAAGTATGGGTCAATCCATATCAAATTTTTGAAATTTAATATTTTTTTTGAAAAAATTTAGGTCATGTGATATATCATAAAAAAGGTCTCTAATAGGCCTTTAAAATAAGCCATCACTCACCTTTCTACTTTTAATAGTTTACGAGATATCGCTATTTTTGTAAGTACTTGCAAAACCCAAATTTATCGGAATTTTTTGATTTTCAAAAATCAATAAAACAAAAACCACCCATCGAAAAAAATTCATATATGGGATTTTTGAGTTTTTTAGTGGGGTAAACAAATTTACCAAAAATTATCAAAATCGGAGATGGTGGGGGAAGAACCTTTAGTTGATTTGATATGGACTGACCCATAGTTTACAAATTATCTCTAAAACAAATCATTTTATCAATATTTTATAAGAGACAAATTTTTTTTAACAATAAATGATTACCTGAAAAAATACCGTTTGGAAGTCATTGGCGCACGTACTAAAATTAGGGTGAGTCAGTGAGTACTGGACCCCCCTATTTTTATTATTTGACAATTGTTTTTTTGTTTTGTTGGTCTTAGAACATGTAACTATTTATGTTGAAGTAGTGTACCGAATTTGAACTTAATATCTTATCAATTACTCGAATTATTAAAAAAAATCAGTTTTAAATTTCAAACTTTGTCGCCCTGTATATCGAACATGAAGCTCTAAACTGAAAAATGGTATTATGAAAGTCTTATTGTTTTAACTCAAAGAATATATGGTTAACGGATTGACTTCCTTTTCCCGGACACCCTGTATAATTGTTTATATTTCGAATAAAATTTTATTTTTCATAAAAAATTCCCAAAAAACATGATTATACCAAAAAATTAACTTCGATCTTCTTGAGGCAAATGTTGTTTTTAATTAAAAAAAATTCCGCGAAAAAGATTTATTCCCATTTTTTTTTAGAAATTATCAGGTTACAAAATGGCATTCTTATTAACCTTTTATAAAAAAAAATAGATTTTTAATAAAATAAATAAAATATCTACGAAGGCGTAGAAGGGCCAACAAAAATTTTATAAGTTTTAGCCAAAACTAACTTTGATTTTTGCAATTTCTATTCTATAATTGTAATTTGAACTTACAATTGTAGGTGTAAGTTATAGGGCTTGCCTTTAAATAATATTATAATATTTCTTTTTGCTGAAGCCCCATTTTGAAATATTGTTCCATAGCTACCTATTAAAAAAACTAAATTGGTTATACTATAGAAAGAAGAAACAATAAACTTACCTTTAGGTTTATCCTACAATTGTAACTTGAACTTACAATTGTAGGTTCAAGTTACAATTGTAGAATAGAAATTGCAAAAATCAAAGTTAGTTTTGGCTAAAACTGTTGTTTAATTTAGGCTTTTTAGTAGTTTTCAATTTTGAACGAAAAACTGTTTGAAGTTTTTTGATCGGCACTCTTTGGAGATTTAAAAATGATATTTACCAAAATTCAAACTGCATTTTTTAAATTTTTTTATTAATTATTTGTTTATTGCAAAGTCTACCTTTGTACACCGATTTCTATTGATTGCAGTTTCTTGTGGGAACCCTTTGATAACTTTAAAATGATATTTACCAAAATCCTAACTGCTCCTATTTTCGAAAATTTTTGAAAATTCTTAATTTTTTTTTTTAATTCTTGTTTATCTTACCTTTGACAGAGTACACATTTATACAGCGATTTTTATAATATTGGAGTATATTGTTAACGAGACTTGGAGAATACTGTATATATTATTATTATTATTATTATTATTATTATTATACAGGGTTAGCCAAAAATCACTATAGTAAAAAGCATAATGCACAAAAAAGATTTATCTCCAAAAAATGTTATTTTATTTAATTTTATTCAAAATCAATTTTTCTTATATAGTCTTAATAAGAATCCCATTTTGTAACCTGATAAACATAAAAATATCTAAAAAAACATCTTTTTTGCGTGTTATGCCAAAATCATGAATTTACGCTTTTGGTAAAGTTATTAAAAGAAGCGATTTTTGGCTAACCCTGTATATATTAAATGATGTAGATTTTAAATATTTTTGTCAAGTTTATTCAAAAATTAAGAATTTAACCAATTTTTCTTTTTTTGCAGTCTTTTGGGTAATCAAACAAAAACACAGCAACCATGGACGCGATTAAAAAGAAGATGCAGGGCATGAAGCTCGAAAAGGAAAACGCATTGGAGCGTGCCGTTCACAACGAACAGCTCGCCAAGGATGCCAACCTCCGTGCTGAAAAGGTAATAAAAAGTAAAAAAAAAAAAAAAAATTTTTGCTTATTTTTATTGTTTTTCATTTAGGCTGAAGAAGAAGCCCGCTCCCTCCAAAAGAAGATCCAACAGATTGAAAACGATCTTGACCAGACCCAGGAACAACTGACCCAAGTCAACGGAAAATTGGAAGAAAAAGAAAAAGCCCTCCAAAACGTAAGTGCACAAATATTTAACCCAGATACTTTTGCCAAAAATATTTGCAACAACTCGTTACATAACGAACTTATGGTATCGGTTTCATTCCAAAAATAACCAAAAAACTCTCACTTATCGAATATTTGCAATTTTTTTTATAATTTTCGGTAATTTCACTTTATTTGTTCCGTATACATACCCTACACAAATAAATCACGTTGGCCATGCCACACGCACAGCACGGGCTCTAAAAATAACCCAGGTTACCCGATCTCTTGCCAAATATGGTCCGGCGACAATTCCGTGCCGAATTCACAACGCATATGATTTATTCACCTTTATTTTTTCCCGTAGTAACCCTCAGGGTTCAAATGAACCACACTTTACTTTCACTCTCTCCAAAAAGTCGCATATCAATGCATAAATAAGCGTTTTTAAATTTGCTGTAATCTGGGTTGTCTATAATCATGCGTGTTAGCCGAGTGGGCGCGTAGTTTGTTTTGACGTCGCTATGACAACAGCGCCAGTGTAGGCAAGATGGCTGCCACGATGTGCACGCGTTAAGTTCGACTCCAGTAAGGATGTCTACGTCTAGGGCGCAGGGGAACGTTAAAAAAAGGGGTCACCAACATCACCCCAGAAATGAAGGCAACAGGAGGAAGTCCGCCCTAGAAACCATAACAATCAACCCACCCTTAAGTGCTTACAGTAAAGCAAACGAAGTGACAAGTGAAAACAAAACAACAACACAAGATTCTAACCCCAATGTGTCAAAATGTGCCTCCGCAAAACCAAAAGTCGAAGTAAAAAGTAAATGTGATATTATTGAAGTGATAGATTTGACGAATTGTGATGACGATGACGCTGCAAGTAATGGTAAGAATGTTGTTACCAATTCGAAAACGATTAAGGACGAACGCAATCAAAAGTTACGAAAACCCAGAAAGCCAAAGGAGAAAGTTGGCCATGACAACAAAGACATGTCTCTCGTGTTTCGTCCAGCAGCAGAAGGGCAGGAGTGCGATCGAAACCATCAAGAAAGCCCTGAAGACCCAGAACTCGAGGAGTTCGCAAAGCTCCGCTGTACATCCGAAAGGATCGAAGTGGTGGCTGAACGGGAGACAAGACGCAAAAATCGGCGATGTGCCGACTACCCCGGACTTGCTTTCGCAAGTTCCATCTTTAGTTCCGACACCCTGATGAAGTTTTCCATCATTCGAAACGAGCTACACAACATTATGAATACGCAACTGAAACGGGTAGGTACAACATTAGAAAGCACTTGTCTTAAATAGAGCAACGCATTTGCCCCCTATTTTAAACGGTCTTTGACCTTTGATGATCAAAGTTTGATCATTGGTAATCTCAAACAATTGACTATAGAATCAAAGGATGCTGCGATCAGCTGTGCGCCTATCACGTGGCTTTGCCATGAAGTGACAGATTACGCCTTAAATTGAGCAACAAGTTCTTTTGCATTCAAATAAATTGAACGCTTTTAAACCATAAATGTTGTTACTTAAAATACCTTATAGATTATATTTAGAGATAGGCGTTTGTAATTAGCCTAATGGTACATTAGTAATGGAATATTTCTCTTGGCAATAATATGAGGTAGATATCCAAAAACAAAATTGTTCTCTGTTTATTTCAAGAACGTTTAATAAAAAGTTAGGTAGGTATATTGATTTAGTATTTACCTAATTGTATTTAGCTTCTTAAGCAATAAAATGTGCCACTTAAGGATTAAAATACAACAATTTCTTGCAATGTAATGCCAGTAATAACAATCATTATTTAATGTTTATTAATAACAAATGTTATAACGGCGTAAGTCTGCTAGAAACTAATCTGGAAATGGAAACTTTCCATTTTTTTTAATTAAAACTGTACTTTTACGATAATTATTACAGTCTTAGTTAAATGTAAATACCTACTTATATAAGTGGTTAGACAAAAAAATAATTGGTTTGTTATTTCGTGTAATTGTAGTTGGACATATCGGGTGACCTGTAAATATCAAAATTACATTAAATGAGATAAATTTAAAGGTCAGATTATTTAGCTATTTATGCTCGAATGCACAAAGCATAGCTAATATTTGTTGGCAAAGTTACTAAGATTAAACAAAACCCAAATATTTATTCAAATCGTAAACTATTAAAATTCTGTTTACATTTTAATTACCTACTCATTAGGTAAATTATTATTAATATTTTAGTTTAATATTTTCTTCATAAATTTTATTTCAAAAATCTACTTGATTTTTTAAAAGTTTGCTGAGCCAATAACTTATTAACTATCTAACATTCGAAGAAAGCGCTTATTTAAAGCCGAGCCAGGTTTGACGTTTGACATATGTTATATAAAAGGTTATGTACATGAATTAATTGTACAGTGACCTGTAAGTTTACATTATCTTTTGCTATGTAATTTCAATGTATTTTATTATTGTACTTACGGGGAATTTGATTATGACTTGTATAATATGAAAATTTTTATAAACTTGAAAAAAAAAACATCTTCAATAAACTCTAAAACGCATTTACTAATCTTTATGAAATTTTGTATAAAAATACTTTAACTTATATCTCAGTTTACGTGTTCGAGGGTTTTTCGAGAAAATATATTTAAAGCCTTTTATTTAATAATAAAAAAAACGTTTAAAAAATAACCTTTAGGGTGTTTTTTTAAGTAAATAAAGATATGCTGTTAAATACCGTATTTTTGTTAGTAGGTATACCCTGAAAATTTTGTACAAATCAAACGAACAATAACGAAGATACATTGCTTCAAAGTCGGTAAAAATAACCCCTTTTGATTATTTTGCTGAAAAGTGGTCTTTTTTACGACTTTAAAGCGCTGTATTTTCGTTATTGTTTTTTGATTTGTACAACATTTTCAGGGTATACTTACAAAAATACGGTATTTCATAGCATATTTTTTATTTACTTAAATAAAGTTTTTTTCGAGCATTTTTTATTATTAAATAAAACCCTTGAACACGCAAACTAAGATATAGTATTTTTATCCAAAATTTTATAAAGAGGCGTTTTAGAGTTTTTTTTTACTTATTATGCGTTAATTTTGATGCGAAGTGTATTTTATATTTGACACATGAGCAATTGTTCTAAAAATATTTCCTTAATTACTAAATTACCACATTTATCATATTAATATACAGGGTGTTCCGAAATTTGTTGAAAGGTAGGTTATATCTAGTTTTTTAAATAATTTATTAAGCATTTAAATATGAAACTTTTTTATTATCAAATTGTTTTCTATTTATAATAATTATATACCTATGACCCATTCCACCAAATACTGTTTTGTAGTTGGACCCCCTAAGATTGTTTTTAAATTTTGTTATTCTTTACATCAAAATATTGACTCACTGAAGATTTAAGCTCGGATTTAAGCTGCCAATATTAATAATAATAATAATAATAATTTAGTCGTAATAATTTTTCCGATCGATAGGTATTTGTTCTAAACTTTGTCGTTATAAAAATACAAAGAGTTTTGTGTTTTATGTAAAAATTCTAAGCTTTTAAATAAAAAGTTAATTTTTTATTATTATTGGTATGGTGCGCCATTTTCGGGACACTCTGTATAATAGCGGTTGTTAAAAACAAATGAAATGAAAGGAACTGTCTGATCTGGCAAAAGTTCGAAAAAAAAAAAAATATTCACAAATTTAAACAAATTTCAACTTGCCTACCTACCTAAATAGATAGGAGAAAAATCATAATCTAATTTTAAAAATCTACATAACTCAAAAATTATTAAAAATAATTGAAGTAATTAACGTCTATTTCGTGGTATTGCCATTTTCTAACAATTTCACATTTTTTTAATGAATAATGCCATAAGAATAAGAATAATGCCATTATTAGCAGCGCTGCTAATTGCAAATCAATACGATATTTATAGTACCTAATGTGAAAAAATCTGACCTAAATAAACATAGCAAAATGATGTAAAAGCTAGTACCATATAAGTTCAGTAATCCATCTATAGCTATTGATGATGTAAACATTAAAGCCAAATGGAATTTTAATTGATATTTATCTTGCACTACAAAAAAACCGTCTGCAAATGGAAAAATAAAGCTGTTCGGAAAATCTAGTAGTAGGCCTAGTTTATAATTTATCAAGTTTGCGTTGGAAATGTATTTATTTTCAAAATTATTAAGTATAGATATTAACCTCGATATTAACGGTACCCGCATTGGAATCATTTTATGGTAGATTTGCCGTTTTATAACCGATTATTCTCACCAGGTGATGGTGCAGAAAAACAAAGATTTCTTCGTTAATTATTCATAGGACACCAACATGTCATAACTGTAATACATACACAACCTACGCATAACTTAAATGCCGTTTTTTACTATTTGTTCATACTGCATTAACTCCAAACAGTCAAAAACTCGTTTTGTATTGTTAATTCATGCACCACAAACCAATATAGTCGATGGGAAACACGCATATCCATTGTGAATCGCTAAATAACCGTGAACAATTCGATTCGAATTCAAAAGGCGCGCCCATTTCGCCAGGAAACCGATGGCAGGTGGCTGTGCGCCTGCGCAGACGCCATCTTAGTCACCGGCAGTCTCGCCCAGTTTGAGAATCGGTCGCGAAGTGGTCGCCTTGTAAATTGAAACGTTCGAATTGTGTGTGCATTGACTTGATTAAGGAAAAACAATGACTACTAACGTAACTCAGGGCTCCCTCTTGGACGTACTCAAGAAAAAAATGCGTCAAACCAAGGAGGAAATGGAAAGATACAAGGATGAGTGCGAGGAGTACAACAAGAGGCTGCAAGGGGAGGTTATTAGACGCGAAGAAGTAAGAATTTTAACATTATAAGCAATTTTAGTCATTAAACTATCTTATTCCCTATAAAAACAATCGTTTTTTATACAAAAATCGCGTTTATTGTCAGCAAAAGTTTTGAAAACTTGGTTATATGTTTCATCTGTGTTTTCCTTTACGTCAACGAGTCGTTGCCCCTCTATTGATTTTCAATGGTGACGTGATCTCGTAATTTGTTACTTTTTCCTCGAAATAATTCTTTAAAACATCAAAAAGTACGATTTTTATCGAATTGAACTGTAAAATTTGACATTTAGATTCATCAAGTTGCCCAACTATCTAAGATTGATTGTTTTTTAATGGCACAACGATAAAAAAAAGATAATTAGATTTATGTGTAAATACTAAATAATCTACAAGACTACAACAAAAATTATAATAAACAAAAACTATTCTAGAACAAATAAATTAATTGTCGAATGACTAATCATTAAACGATAGCATAATTACCTACACCTAAAATTAATTAAATTAACCCTTATATGATATTTGAGTGTGAAATACGACCTTGGTATGGTGGGGTAAGGTCGCGGAATGGTAGAAGACGTTGATCTTTCCTTGCTTGCGAGAGATGGTCAAGAAAATGTAAGGACCCGGTTTACAATGCATAATACGACACAACAAAATTTACATGTCAATAAGAGGTCGCTGTTTTATTACAGTTATTCATTAAATCACAAATTGGTTTTATTTTGACATCATTTTTATCGCCAGTCGGCTTTGTTAAGCTCACAATTTTATAATATTATTGATAATGTAAGATATGATGTTTTTGTTTATTTAAATAGAGATATCCAAATTTAGAGATGTGTAAGGCAAATATTGATAAATTTCTACCTTTGATACAAGGATTAATCGATGCAATTTAAGAAATGTTTATTTACGTTTATTTTTAGTACAAACAAGTTTTATTATTACTTATTTTAAAACTGCATTCTCACTCTACGACTTTTTAACATAATATAGCTTTTAGTAATTATATAGGTAATTAAAATTATGAATGATTTATGTAAGCTACTAAAAGCTACCTGTTTTTAAAAGTCTTTAATTATGTACCTAAATAAAATGAATTAGAAATGTGGACTTTTTATATTGACATCCATATACAGAAAACTGTTTACAGGCATATGCTGCAATAATTTTGTAAAAGTATGTACCTAACCATATATTTATTTACAATTAAAACGCATATAAAATGTTCTTATTTTTAATTAAAATTGAAGTTTTTTACTGTATTTCCTGTATGCATTGGTCTACCACAAGATATAAAAATACCACTTAACACAATATGCACACTTCATTTTATTTTTTTTGTGTCCCACATTCTCATACATTACATTTGTTGTCCATATACTTAATTTAATTTTAGTCCCAAACATAATTAATTAGGCGTACTATTAACTACCAAAAGTATTACGCATTACAAAAAGGGACAATTGACTTATATCGCGATTTTATTTTTTTACATTTGTACGTTGGTACTATGAGTCGCGCGTACCGGAAGGAAGTGTGCTTCATTTCCTTCCATTCAGAAGAGCGATCTGCGTCCCCTTTACCATATACTTTATGTTTATAAATTTAATTTTCCTTTTTGTAAAATTGGACTTTAAAAACTAATATTATTGGACTTTACAACTAATATTATTATTCTTGTACCGTGTCAAAACTTATCTGCTCAATATTGCTAACAAACAATTTCGAAATGTGGAGTGGTACTAAATGAATAAAATAAAATCTAAAATAATATGAATATTCATCCCAAATAATCACTCAAAAAAACAATCACGTAGGTACCTACCTAAAATATAATTATTTTTGTTCTCATAGCAATTAACAAGTGAAATTAACATAACATTTAAAATTCATTAACCCTGTTCAATTTAAATTTGTAGTGCCTCGTTATCATATAAATTTAACTTTTATATTTTGTGCCATGGAGCAATTTTAAGGTACGATTTAAAACATTCTTTGTAAAATTTTGAAGACCTGTGTAATAAATTGTTCATTATCGGTAGCTCATAATAAATTTTTGTTTATTTAGTCATATAGCCTGAAGAAATATATCTGCATACCTATATGTTTATGTATACTAAGGTATTTTATTCATCAAAGTGTGAAATGTCACTGTAATTTTCACAGCCTTATAAAAACAATTACATTTACCTTTGTTTATGGTGTTTTAGTTAAGAAACCAAATATTTTGTAATTAATATTACATGCCTATTATAATAAATATGTATGCATTGTTTTATGCAATGTTGATTCATATATTGCTCATTTAAAGATATTTTAACAATAGGTTAATAAATTGGTTAGAAGTTGGAACAATAACGTTGATATTTTTGCGGAATTTATGCAAAATTTCTCCAAAAAATAAAAGGTGTTTTTAAAAAGAAATTCTCAAACATTTTCATTTTTTTTTCTAGGCTGAATCTGAAGTCGCCGCCTTAAACCGTCGTATCCAACTTTTGGAAGAAGACTTGGAACGCTCCGAAGAACGTTTGGCCAGTGCCACCTCCAAGTTGGCCGAGGCCTCAGCCGCCGCCGACGAGAGCGAAAGGTTGGTTTGTCAACAGAATCGGTGACGTCAGCTGTCATCTGTCAAAATAGTCGTTTTTAGATTTTTTCGTTCGTTCGAAACGCGATTTCCTACTACTAACAAAGGAAGTGACGCAAATTATTGGTTGTCAATTAATTTTAAAAAAAATTAATTTAGACCAACTTTTATTAAAAAAAAAACGTTTTAATAAAGAAATAAAAACAAAATTAAGACAAAAAAGTAGAATTTTTGATAAAATTAAAAAAGTATATGATTTCCAAATTATGGTATTTTTTAAAAATTTAAAAAAATAACTCAAAAAATATTCATTGACCATTTTTTTAAGAATTGTATTGGAATATTTTGTAAAGAAAAAATAAAAACAAAATTAAGACAAAAAAGTAGAATTTCCACCTTTTTAATAAAATTAAAAAAGCAGTAAAAAGCACAAAGGTAAAAAAGTATTCAATTTCCAAATTATGGTATTTTTTAAAATTAAAAAAAATTTAACTCAAAAAATAGTAAATAGAATTTTATTAGATTATTTTTGTGATTTAAACAGTATAGCATTTTTATATCTTGTTAAGAACAATTAAAATTATGATTACCTATAAATTAATCTTGCAAAATGCATAAATAAAAAAAATGATTACGCCAGTTATAACAAAATAATATTTTCAAACTAGCTTAAAAAAATGTTGACCAGTGTTACTAATACACTGCACGTCAAAATTAACGCATAACAAGTTAAAAAAAATCCAACTCTAAAACGCCTTTACCAATCTTTATAAAATTTTGGATGAAAATACTTTAACTTAACCTGAGAATTATAGTGTTCTATCTGCATTTTCTTTTTTTTATTCAGGTTAGTCTTGTTTTAAGTATTAAAGATGCATATTGTTCTATCTATATATAATTGGGGTAGAAATTGTACAGTTTAAACCTTAAACTTTACAATTTCTACCCCAATTATATATAGATAGATCAATATCATCTTTAAGACTTAAAACAAGACTAACCTGAATAAAAAAAAGAAAATGCAGATAGAACACTATAATTCTCAGGTGACGTTATATCTCAGTTTACGTGTTCAAGGGTTTTTCGAGAAAATATCCAAAAAGCCATTTTATTTATTAATAAAAAACGCTTAAAAAAAACTTTTATAGGGATATTTTTTTTAAGTAAATAAAATTATTCTGTGGAAGACCGTATTTTTGTTAGTATGCCCTGAAAATTTTGTACAAATCAAACAAACAGTAACAGCGCTTCAAAGTCGTCAAAAATGACCACTTTTCAGTAAAATAATAAAAAAAGGGTAATTTTTACCGACTTTGAAGCAATGTATCTTCGTTACTGTTCGTTTGATTTGTACACAATTTTCAAGTATACTAACAGCATATTTTTTATTTAGTTAAAAAAATTCCCTAAAAGTTATTTTTCGAACGTTTTTTTATTATTAAATAAAAGGGCTTTAAAAATATTTTCTCGAAAAAACCTCGAACACGTAAACTGAGATATAAGTTGAAGTATTTTTATACAAAATTTCATATTGGTAAAGGCGTTAGAATTAGAGTTAGAATTTTTTTACTTATTATTCGTTAATTTTGACGCTCAGTGTATTTTTAAATTTATTTAATCTAATTCGACATTTCTTTTATTCTTTTACCATAGAAAGTTATGCTTGCATTACCTAACAACTTTGTTATTGCATGGGTTAATAATATAAGAAGCAAATTCTTTAGTTTTAATCTTGTAAAAGAATAAAGCAATAAAAACTGAACATTATGATTCCGTAACACTTTAATTTTTAAAGTTAATTAAAATTTTAGATTGTATAAATTTAATTTGCCCGTCTTTCAAAAAAAAATAAGATATTCTTCGTTATCTATTTACTGTTAAAGTTATGCAAATTTTAGTTATATATACTAGTTTTGTTACTTTTGCAAATTATAATAAATTATTGCACATAAATATGAAAAAATAATATTGAAGATAAATTTAGACTTTTAAATAATATTTTTTTCTTTGCAACAAAATAAATTCTTAAGCACTTATTCACAGTATGAATATAATAAATTTTAACGACTAGTAAGGAGTAGCTGTCATTGAGAAAACTCGCACAGCATTTTATATCATTTGTAGTGCAATAAAATAAAATTGTTGGTGAATTAGGTAAACTATTCATGCATTCATTATCTATTGCATTATAAAATAGATTTATTTTTTCGGTCGCCCAATAAACACTAAGATGTCATTTCGTTTTTGTCTTGAATAAAGTTGATATCTTATTATGTTAGTTTTGTTATTATAAAATTAAATATGACCTTATAAGGTACACCAATAATTTCTTGTCAAAACAATTTAACTGATAAAAATTGATTTTTGATTTTTAGTCTCCAATGTAGTAGACAAATATTCTCATTTGACCAATTTAAATCATTTAAATAATAACACTGGTCTACAAAATAACCAAACAAGTAAAAAAATGTTTTAGGGAAAGGTATTTCTATACAAAATTAAACTTTTTATATTGCACAATAACAAAAAACTAAGAATCTCATCTACTTTTTTTAAATTACTCCAAATGTTACCAGGTTTTAAAGAAATTATAACAAAAAAATAAATCTTTGATTTTTTTTAACTACAAGGTGTCCATGAAATGCCCGTACAAAATAATACCAAATATTCCTGATACCAACAAAATGCGATACCTATATCTAAATTTACCTCTATTCAAAAGTTGATAATAAGCAAGATACAGGGTGTCCAAAAAGAGATTGTGAGTTGTCAAAAAATATTTAAAAACGTACAATTTTGAAAAACAATGACGAAGTTTGACAGTAACTAAATTTGTAGCGTCTCTTACTATTTAATAGTGACCTACTTTAAAAAATGTCACATTTTTAAATCACAATTTAAATAAAAATATCTCGAAAACGGTTACCTACTCACAGCGATATTTAGAAAGTACAGTTCATTTTGTTTGTTAGGTTGGTGGCTTATGTCAGTTTGACTTGGTATTTTCAGTATTTAAAAATGGTACTTCTGCTAAAGAATTTAATTAAATACTTTGACACTGTCAAATTGACAATAATATTTATTATTGATAATTTACTTGTCAATTATAAATAAAAAGATAATTATGCCAAAAATAATAGCAACGGATTCGAATGTAAAAGCCCTTTTGAGGGCAAAACTTCATTTTGATGAAATTATGCCAAATGCCACAATGGAAGAAAAAGTACATCGCCTTATGGACATTTTTGGAGTAAAAAAGTAACGAATTTGGTTTTATAAATATTACATCACAAATTATTTTCGCATTATTTATGGACATCATTTACGTTCACAAAAAATTTTAATTTCTTTTATATAAATTCTTTTCAAAGCGAAGATTATTATCCGCTAGGAATACTTTCTCTTCTGGGCCGTAAAGCAACCTATATTTAACTACTTTTTTTATATGATTTTACTCATCCAAGCACCACCAAAGCCAAATTAATTGCATTTTTAACTACGAATTTCGACAACTCAACTTGACAACTGCACAATGTAACCTACAATAATTTATACATAACCACAATTAGATTTATAACTAGCTTAGTTTGTTTTAATCAATGCGACCAACTTGACAACTGTATTTACCAACAACCTACATTATTTTTTTTAAAGTTATTTAATAAAATCGAAAACCAAACAAAAACTTTGACACCCTGTATTTTGGTTATTATTAATTTTTGTAGCATAAAATTAAATTTATTTATATCGCATTATTTCGGTCTCAGGATTATGTGGTATCATTTTGTACTGGTATTTCAGAGACACCTTGTATATTTTTTTGTTTAAAACCTCTCAAAGTTATAGACTATCCTACGGAATTAGACTCAACGAAGTCGTAATAATAAAATTACTTTTAAGGGACACCCAATAATCTTATAAAAATGCCATAATAATAAAATTACTTCTTTGTATTGGGGAGTTTAAAAAAATACCAAAGACAACCAATTTTGCGTCGTTCCTATCCCCAAAATCAACCATTAAAAAAATATTTTGCTCATCCAACCACTAACTAAAAACTAATCTCCCCGTTTTTTTACTACCAACTAAAAGGATACGAAAAGCATTGGAAAACAGGACGAACATGGAGGACGACCGCGTCTCAATCTTGGAAAGTCAGCTGGCTCAAGCCAAGCTGATTGCCGAAGAGGCCGACAAAAAATACGAAGAGGTATAAAAACCGTTATGGGATATATTTTATTTTATTTATCTAGATGCCTTTTTTTAACAATACCCCGCTAAACTAGGCTTCCTAGATTGAAAGAAAGAAAAATTATGTGTCACTTTTATAAGAAGGTGTTTTAACAACATGGGTGAGATGTATCATGCCTCGCACCATTATTGTTGTAAAACCATTCTATGTATATCAAAATGTGTATCAACTAAACATTAAACTTAACGAAATAATTTTTCTTTGTTTCCCAAACAATGTTAGGGCGTTAGGGACGTTAGGACTATTTTTAATACTTATTTAGGTTTGAAATCTAGGACTCCATGGCCGTTTTGATGTCGTCGTCGAATACATTTTTTTGCATTGTTTTTTGGACCGTTTTTGTTTAGGTTAATAAGAATGAGGTGTTGACAAGCAAATGTAAAAGTTTTTTTTTGGTGGAATTGGCAAATATAGTACGTGGAATGTTTAATTTATTTTTTAAATATAACCGTCTTTTATGGAAATATGAATATTACAATATTATAAACTTTAGAATATTTACAAATCAAATATTTGAACGTTTGAAGTTATTATAGGGATGACTCATATAACAATTTAATTTATAAAGCTTTGTAGGTATAGACAGTGTAGGTCGAAATTTTTCATGTAGGTTAAGTAAATGTACCGGTTTTTTCTTATTATGCTGAAACATGCAAAAAATACGTTTTTTAATTTGACTAAGTTAATGTGGACCGAATTAACATAATTAAAATTTAAAAAACAACAAGAAACTTGTTTTTATAACGATTTCCTATATCGTGCCTTACTAAGATAAGAGCCTATTTCCATTTCTGATATTTACAAAAAAAATTAACGGTTATTGCATTATTTAACAAAGTAACTTATTACAACTATACCACATATCGGCTGCTCTATTCCAGTAACCACAGTAACCAAAATTTTTTTCAGAAAATATTTTTGCATATACCTTCCAACCAGGCCTATTTGTTGATGAAAAACTATAGCAGTAATATTCGTAATTCGTTTTGGAATGGAGCAGCCAAAATGATTAAAATAAATAATAATAAAAGTGATTTTTTACCTTTTGGTGGTCAAAAATTGGCAAAAATATTTGTATCAAATATCCAATATGAATCCTATTGGACATATTTACCACAAAATTTAACATTTGCTTGTCAATCCAGATTTCTTGGTCAACAATCATCGATTATACAGAGTGTTTCAGAATATAACGGTTAAAAATTAAGGGTACAATGATTAATTTAAAAGAACTATTAGTATAATTAACTATCTGTTTTTATTATGCAAGGTGTTAAGTTTTACTCTTTAACAGTTTTAAGCATTTGGATAAAGTTATAGTCTCGTTATAAAACGCCAATAAAAAATATAGTGACTACCCCAAATTTTTCAATTCAAAATCTCCTTATTTTTTCCAATGCCATTTTAATAGGTCTATTAAAAGTCTACTTGTAATTACGCAACTTTTTTCTACTTTAACGGACTTAGTAAAGAATTACAAAATTCCAAAGTTTAGAGATCAACTTGTAAAACTATACCAATTTTTAAGGCATGATTGTAATAAAACGGTTCATCTGACAAGAAATTCCAATCAAACCTTTTTTGTAGATCAATTTTGTTAAACTCAATGGTTTGGGAGTTCTGAGACAGAAACTCGCTCAGGAAAAAAAATCTAAAATTGCGATGATAGACCTCTTAATATTAATATTATGGACTCAAACTTTTACCATATTTTTTTGTCACCCCAAACAATATATTCGATATACTTTACAAAAAAAATAGTCGATTTTTTTGGCCCAGTCTAATGTACTAGTATATTAATATTTAATTTTCATGAATATTACTTCTTAATTGTCCTCATAAAAAACTGAAATTCTCTGTATAAAAATGATCATGAAAAAAGTGTCATTGAGTTTGGTCCCTTTATAAACATGTCTTGTTTTCACTTAGGCAACGCAAGGTACTCGAAAACCGCTCGTTGGCCGATGAGGAGCGCATGGACGCCCTTGAGAACCAACTCAAGGAAGCCAGATTCTTGGCTGAAGAGGCCGACAAAAAATACGATGAGGTGTTTAATAATTTGACTTAAAACCAAAAAAAAAATTAACTCTTTGCAGTGCTCATTAATACCGTTTAATACTTGGCCTCAGAGAGTGAAATCTACTAATTTCGTTTTTGTTGTTGATTTTGTTTACTTTTATTGAGTTACCATGGAATTTATCCATCGAGTTATAATGTGATTTTGCGTTGAAAAAGTGTAAAAAAGCGTCCGTGCATCGATCAGTGAGTGGGTAAAAATTAGTGTTAAGGAAGTGGCGCAAAAAAATAAAGGTGTCCTGTTGCATTGTGTGCAAGTGTTAATTGTTTAATTATGAACAGGACCTCCGTCCCCTAGTAAATTTGTAGCCCAATTTTTAATAATAATATGTAAAAACATATTTTTATACGTATATCAAAGATATTGTTGTTGTTATGTACATAAAAATGTACAATATTTATTATAATAATGACGAAATAATATTTTTCTATAATAGGGCAGCTCGACTTTAAAATAAAATAAAATAAAATGCCTTGGTAGATTTTAAAATAATTCAATAAGAAAGTATTTCTAAGGATTCCAATCTTGTTAACATAATTAAATTAATTTAATTTAACGTTATTTATGTAGGTATCTACCAAGGCAGACAAAAAAATACAAAAATAACTTGATTTTGTTAAATTTTAATTATAATTAGTTAGTTTTCTGAATGTTCTTGTAAAAAAGACTTTTAAAGACTTGATGGTGAATTCATTTTCAACTCAACCAATGCTGCCAATATTTCTAGTGGCGATAAAATGATGAGTACGTTCCATGGTGATATTTTAATTTTTTTATTTTACATTTTGCATGAAAGGAATATAATTTAGGATCTAAATCTAACATTTAAAATTTGAAAGTGATTTTTTTTTAAATGGGTGTAGACATTTTCTTAGAATTGTCTATATTTTTTTGCGATAAACTAAACGTTTTTTTTATTTTATCTAAATTTATAAAATATATATAATATATTTATAACATTATGTAGGTATTAGGGTGGTTCTTATTTGACCGATGTCGAAATTTTTAAACAAAAAAAAATTCATGTATGTCCATCGTAAGGTCTTTTTTACTTCGCTCAATTATTACCATTATTGTTATTTTATTGAAAATGGCATATAAAAACAAAATATCAGTAATAATTTGCATTTAATGCATAATTAGTGTGCTTTGAAACGTAATTTTGTACTTTTCTAATGTTGGTGCTGCTTAAATATCTTTTAGGCAATCTTAAATTATTTGTTTTATAAAACAAATAATTTAAGATTACATAAAAGATATTTAGGAGCACCAACATTAGAAAAGTACAAAATTACAATTATGTAAATAATAAAATTGATTTTTAGATTGTTTTTGAACAATTTATTTTTAAAGAAAGTAACAGTTAAAATGACAAAAAAATAAACAAAATAAAATCCAGATAATTAGGTTTTTGGTATTTTAAAAATTGTTTACAACTGTCTTTTTTTGCGTCGGGAAATGCTTTTCGAAACTCTGACACAAGCTTTACAACAAATTGTTTCTGTTCTTCATTGTGTGATATGATGAAGTTATACTCGTCAAATAAATGCACAGCTCTTTCGGCAGCATCGTTAACGATTCTCAGCTGAGTTACAGTTTTTAAACCGTTTTGACAATTTTCGTCCTGAAACCACATAGTCGGATCGATTTTCAAAAAAGTGTCATCGATATCCCATCGCTGAAAGAATCTTCTTGCTTGTGGTGTTATAATATATTATTGTACAGCTTGTGTCAGAGTTTCGAAAAGCATTTCCCGACGCAAAAAAGACTGTTGTAAACAATTTTGAAAATACCAAAAACCTAATTATCTGGGTTTTATTTTGTTTATTTTTTTGCCATTTTAACTATGTTACTTTCTTTAAAAATAAATTGTTCGAAAACAATCTAAAAATCAATTTCATTATTTACATAATTGTAATTTTGTACTTTTCTAATGTTGGTGCTTCCTAAATACGTACGTTTCAAAACGCACTAATTATGCATTAAATGCAAATTATCACTGCTATTTTGTTTTTATGCCATTTTCAATAAAAAAAAACAAAAATAGTAATAATTGAATGAAGTAAAAAAGACCTTACTATGGACATACATGAATTCTTTTTTTTTTTGTTTAAAAGTGCCATATTTTCCCTTCATTTTCTCAAAAAATTAGAATTTTTTATTAAGTATTAATGATTTTATAAAATTATTGCGTTTTAAAGCAAAAATCCCCTATATGAAAAACTGTAAGTAATAATCGAGCGAAGTAAAAAAGCCCTTAAGATACAATTACATGATAACTTTTTTGTTTTGTTTTAAAGTAACTTATATCCTCTACATTTTCTCAAAAAATTATACTTTTTCATAGATTAATAGTAATTTTAAAAAATTAATTAAAGGCAAAAATCCTCTATCTGGAAAACTTCTGTTACAGGCAATAGAAGGAAATAAGTTAGGACATTCAAATTTGGCATACATTTTTTAAATATTTTTTAAAAACAAATGAGGGGGCGGCACGATTAAAATTTCGACATCGGCCAAATAAGAACCACCCTAGTAGGTATATTGGAACTTTTATAAAATAGAAAAATATTTGTCTGTCAAAATCTACCACAAATTCCGAATTATTTTGGTATTTGTAGAGACCTTTTACAGAAATTAATAAGAGGAAATATTGGAACCAAAGGCCACTTTTCCATATTACTCTTTAAAAATGAATTAGTCAAATATGACCAATTACTACAGTTATTAGTGGCTGCTTTTTCACTTATACCATGGTTAACCATGGAATCCCAAAATTTAACAGCCAAATCTTATGTAAAGTTGTCTCCTGAATCCAAAAATACAGTCAAAATTTAAAAAAGTAAAACAATTTTTGAGATATAGTCAATTTTCCATTTAATATGGAATTGACTATATCTCAAAAACTGCTCTACTTTTATAGTTTTTGGCGGTATTTTCGGATTATGCGGACAATTTTACATAAGAATTGGCTATTATGTCGGGGATACCACGGTATCCCATTCTATACCATGGTCTAAGTGAAAAAGCAGCCACTAATAACTGTAGTAAGTAGTCATTTTTGACTAATCAATTTTTAGAGAGTATAATAAAACGTATTCTGGCAAAAAAAGATTTGTAAACAAACATCTAGTTTATCACAAAATCCACCCAAAATTTTAACCCATCTAATTTTTATTAAAACCCAAAAACCGTCGTTTTAAAAATGTTGTACTTATGCTGTTGTTACACGCAGGTCGCCCGTAAATTGGCCATGGTTGAGGCCGATTTGGAAAGAGCAGAAGAGCGTGCCGAAACCGGCGAATCGTAGGTTTCATTTTATTATACAGAGTGTCTATAATTTCTTGTTTTTTGTCATGATGTTAATGTGTTTTATTCCTATGTTGAGCATTGACACGTGTTTTTTTATTTTTTTTTTTACTAATTACACATTTTAGCTAGCAATTTACAGCTATGAAATTATTTTTAGACTTCATGTTATATTTTTAAAAATTTGGTCAGAAACTAGTATATTTTTAATTTCATGGCTATAAAATATAAACAAACCAAAAATTGTTTGTATTTTTTATTATTAACACATTATTATTTTTGTTATTGTTGTTGTGGTTTTCTGCATGATTGCTGTGTTGCCAGGTTGCCAGAAAATTGGTTCTCATGGAACAAGATTTAGAAAGGGCAGAAGAAAGAGCCGAATCCAGCGACAGGTAGGTGGTGGCAACACTGCTTTTTTCGATTGTCTTTTATTCGTATGGTGCATGTAAAATTTCAAAAAGTGTCTACAATTTATTCTAGCTAGAGATGTAACAAAAAACGGATTTTTCTTTCAAATCCGCTACAATAAAGCATATTCTGCCAATAAATAACATCAATCGTAATTTTTCAAAATTAAATTTTGAGTAAAATGTATATTAATAATAAAGTGAAATCGTCGCCTTCAGGAGAAAATTGCTTAACTCCATGTTGTAAAATTTTACAGGAGGAAAGAAAAACATATTAAAGGTGCATTGGTGTATCTCCACATTACCGCCAAAAAATTGTTTAATGGAAAATTACGTATCTCCAATATGTACTTTATGTTAATAAAAGTAACCTTAAATTATTCATGGTACCTTAACTTTACACACTATACAATCTTTCATACTTACATACAGAAAAAATAACTAGGCAATAACTTATACTTGTCAATGGCACTGATTTGTATATTGGAGTTAGGCATTATTCCCTGGACGCTCCTCCACGATTGGAGATACGTATATTTATTTTTCTAAATTTAAAATTAACGGTTTATTTTAGGACTTCTGTAACTTGCATATAAATTAGTTACAGTTTTATCTAACAGATGCCACTAAAATACAATTTTAATGAAAATGTGGAGTTACGTGATTTTCTCCTGAAGGCGACGAAATGTAGAATATATTACATTTTTCATTATTGAAAATTTTGACCGAAACTAAAAAATCTGATTTCTTATATTTTTTCATTGGGCCATTCCACGCTTAACGGATAGGACAGTTGCCGTGTTTTTATTTACAAAATAATATTGTTCTATTATATTACCAATGTCAAATTTTTATAAATAGTTCTAAACAAAAGCTGTTTAACAAGGTTTTTATTTGGCAAAATTAGGTGTCGTGATTGTTTAATTCCTTAAAAATTAATAATTTAAAGCGTAACGGGCGGGACTATTACAAAGTCCCGTCCGTTACGCTTTAAATGATTAGTTTTTAAGGAATTAAATAGTCAACCACGATACCTAATTTTGCCAAATAAAAACCTTGTTAAACAGCTTTAGTTTAGAACTATTTATAAAAATTTGACATTGGTAATATATTTAATAGAACAATATTATTTTGTAAATAAAAACACGGCAACTATCCTATCCGTTACGCGTGGAATGTTATTGAAAATTTTGACCGAGGCTAAAAAATCTGATTTCTTATATTTTGTAGTTTCCACATAAAAACCAATAGCAATGTAAAACTTCTACACTAATAGAAAAAATTAAATTAAATTTTTTGCGATTTTTCGGATAGCTGTATCTTCGTTAAAAAAGGTCGTATTGGAGCCGTAAAAAAGCAATTTGAAGCTTGAAGTTCTAGTTTTGAGATTTTTATATGAAAAACGTGCAACGCTCAATCCTAACGAATACCGTAATAAAAAAATTCGAATTTGTTTGGCTTTATTTTTTGGTCCACGGAATGTTCTGACTTAACCACCAATGAATAAATGTTCTACAAGAATTTGCTATTGTTTTAAAAAAAAAAAATTCCATACTCTAAATGAATTTGAAAAATCATGAAAAAAGTGCTTTTGGTAGCTTTTTGAAAAATCAAGCGCTGAATCAAAAATATTATAGGTCGTTACTTTTTTTAGGACTAAATCAAAACAAGCGCGGCCCTTATTGGTCAATTCAGTGGTGGTGGCGCGTGCAAAGCGCAAGACTGTATTTACATTTACTAAATGTCATTTAGTGGCTAACTTTAGTCCATGAACTGGACTGGAAACATAAAAAATTAGGCAAATGGGACTAATCTTGAAAAAAAACCTAAAATATGAAAAAAACATTTGAAAAAAACTGAAAAAAAACATAAAAAAACAAAAAAACGGACCTTTTTTATACGCATCTGTATGTTCTAGCACCTGATTGATTACACTAGTAAACAATAAAAAAAGGTCAGTAATAAAAATAGCTCAGTCCTATAGATTTTAACCTGCTCGACGCAAATCCGGCGACCAAAAAATTTTCCAAAGTCTCGTTTAGGCGATACGGGCAGGACCATGATACAAAGAAAAATTGTTAAATAATAACGATAAAAATAAGTAAATAAAAAAGGTCGGTAATAAAAATAGCACAGTCCTATAGATTTTCACCTGCTCGACGCAAATCCGGCGACCAAAAAATTTTCCAAAGTCTCGTTTAGACGATACGGGCAGCACCATGATACAAAGAAAAATTGTTAAATAATAACGATAAAAATAAGTAAACAAAATAATTCGAACGATAAAAAATAGTAAGAATAAAAAAAATGCCTTAAATTTTTACAATATGTACAGATATGTTGTTCATGGAATGCTGAAATATAAGTTAAAAGTAACGTCATCCTAAAATTTTCAAATCTATGCAATAAATGGTACCAAAATACTGTGCTCCTATTTTTTATTTCCGACTTCAGAAAATTTTTTTTTAAACATTTTGGATCGATTTCAGTCATAAACAATCAAAAAATTCTATTTTTAACCAGGACCTTTTTTTTAAGTTAAAATTTGTTGCCTAGTGTTATCTTTAATGACGTTTTATTTAATTAGAATATATTATCCTAATGACCGTTTTAAATGTGTATGGGCTGAGGTCAATTGTGTAAAGCATACATTTTTGTTAAACATTTGTTTTTTATTACCACCTTTAAAACATAATGTGTGTTTTCATGACGCTAAGTGAGCTTTCGGGCTTTTTAGTCACGTGCTTAAGTTAGTTGCAGTTGTCAAAAGTCGTATAAAAATCGAAATTAAGGGACTACAAAATTAGGTTAGAACAGTCTTTGAATATTTTTTGACGTTTCTAAAGACCAATAAAAACTTTAAAATTCAGTCGTGTTTTGAAACAGGGTTTAAAAAAATTGTCGAATTATTTTAATTTATTTTTACTCTTGTGATATTTAACTTTTGTGTTCGTCGTAAAAAATTATAGTCGATTCAAACTTCTCTAGCACTTGCTTCGCTCGTGCCTAATTTAAACTCCTTAATATAAATAAAATACTATTGATTTACTCAAAATTTTAAAAACGATTTAAGTTCATGTTAATCTTTTTTTTATAAATTTAAATTTATAAATAGCTTTACAAAAAATTAAAACATTTTTTAAACAAAACATATTTTGAGAATAGATTCTGTTTTAATTATTAATTCAAATAAATTTTATTTAAATTTTCAAACTATTGCGTTGAGAAATAAAGTCATAAAATATATCAGTTTTTAGTAAAATGTATTTGTACAAATAAATATACAAATTAGTAAAATTTATCAAAATATGTACTAAAGTTGACAATAAAAACGTTCAGTCTCTATTTAAAAATTATTGATTTAGATTACTTACGTAGTTTGATGTGAGGATTTTTTAACAACTTAAAGACATTGTTTAAAATAAATTGTAGACACTTTGATAGTAATTTTTGTAGAATTTTATTCTAATATGTTTTTAATTTTACAGCAAAATCGTGGAACTTGAAGAAGAACTCCGCGTTGTAGGCAACAACTTGAAATCCCTTGAAGTATCAGAAGAAAAGGTAAAAAATATTTCTTTAGCATTACAAAATTTAAAAAGTTGGTCGAAACCGGCACATAATTTCATAAAAATGACCAGTTTTGATCAAAATTATTATATCAAAAATTGCCCCCAGAAGATTCTCTTTCAGTATTTATTTCCTACCATTGACATAATAATAAATGATTTAGGCCAACCAACGTGAAGAAGAATACAAAAACCAAATCAAGAACTTGACCACCCGCCTAAAGGAGGTACTACCAGCGTTGCCAAATCGCTCTTTTTTTCAGTGTTTTTTTTATTGTCTAGCGAGCTGAATTTTGTGATGCCTTTGATTTTAAATCTTAACCAACCAAATATTAATTTCGCATGAAAAAAACAACAATAAAAATGTTCGAATAATTTTTAATGTTGTTTATTTTGTTGTTTTGGTGTTGTTTATTAACTTGACTTTTGAACAGGCTACAGCGAAGGAAGAAGAATATTCCGTGACCTTAAAACAGGTGGAACAACGACTGTACGAGGTAAAATATGGTCGAAAATCGATGCCCATTTGCTCGCTATACCACCCCCTTAAAAAAATCCCTTTTTGTATATATATGTTTTTAGCTCTACCTACCTATATAGTGTCATGCTGGTGAACGTGTTTTAATAATTTAAATCTTATAGGGGATACGTATTTCATTGTTTACTTACATATTTCTTTTATATTGTTGAGGTTATTTGCATTTATTTGCCTTACATTGTAAACAAATTTCAAAATTTATTTATAATTTAAGGTACATAATAATCTATGTGCTTTTGAGATCAACTGTTGTCTCATTGGCAATTTTAAAGGGTTGTTCTAACTAAACAAACTTTTGTATTTCTAATAGGTTTAAAATACGATTTGACAACAATGAAACATTCTGTTAATTTCAATTTTTTACAAATTTTTCATCAAACATCAAATACATTATCTTTTGTCTTAAAACGTTTTTATTTAGAAAGTTTTGAAAATTTCACCCAAAACATAACTTTGCCAAATGTATTCGATTAAAAAAACGGTATTATTTTGTAGGTTTTTGAAACTGAAAATATTTCAAAAATTCTGTTAAAATCGTATGTAAAGTACTTAATTAATTACATTTTTATTGTTGACCAAATTTGAAAGTACCATTTGTGAATACAAAAAGTGCGGACTTAATTCAGAACGACCCTGTATATTATACCTGTTATTTTCACACCACGTATTACGCATGTTTCTGTAATATTTGTATTGCGCAGGCTGCTGTTACCCGAGAGCATAGCGAGGATAAAATCCGTACCATTTCCGATAAATTACGTGAAGTAAGTTAAAAAAAAATTATCGACCTTTTTTACATTATAAATATATTGGATTTAAATCACCTTTCAAAAAAGTCGTAAAGTAACTTTTTTGTCGGGTAAAATGTTTGAATGTCTGTAAAATCAAACGTAACAGAAAATTCTTAAAAAGTGCATATTTTCATTACGGATGGTTTTATGAAAAAGGTCTCTATTTTGGTGGAAAATATAAACCTTAACAGCAACAATTAATTAATAAAGAATCTGGTTTAAAATTACCGCTAAAATTGGCAATTTGCACGGTCGCACTGGAAAATCACCTTTTTAATTTGTTAAAAAGCTGCATTGATGATCATAATTTTTAAATGCATTTATTATTTTTAATCATGGAATATGACTTACATTACAAAAAAACGAATCTATAAAATTCCGCTTATTTCCTTTTTATTCACTTTGCTTTTCACCGCTTTTTGCATCCCCCCTGTAAAAGTAATTTTTCCTGAAAATTGTATATTTAGTCGCACTGTCATTTTCTACACAAAAGGTGAAGGTTCTTTCCACATATCATTTGTAAGTACTGTAGTGACACATGCATGAGTATTTTAGTTTGTGCTTAAAAATTGCTTGGAAAAAAATGAAACGAGTTATAAAATTGAACAAATTTGTAAAAAATATGTTAAAAATGTTTTATTATTCTCGTTTCATTTGAATTGTGTGATATGCACTTATGCACATTGGTACTGTGATTTATTTTATAATAATTCATCTAGTATTTTTATAAAATGTTAATAATTTCAAGATCTATTAGAATCATTTTAAATCCTATAATCTTATAGGAGGCAGAATTTTCCAAAAAATGTTCATTTTGTCAATATTTTTCAATTTTTTTAAATTATAGTTCCACTTATTAATTATTAATCCTGTGAAGGACAAACTTAAAAAAATATATTTCATATATAAAAATTTCATATATCAAAAATTGATTTTTTAGATTTTTTTTTCATTATTTTTATGATGCAAATTATATTTTTTTATTAAAAAGAAATTAATTCTATTATTTTTAATTTTAAACCATTTAAGTTTAATAAACTAATCGAATAAAGTTAAGCATATTAAGATATTTTGACCAAAACATAAATTTAACGATACAATTTTATACGCCCTGTATTTTATTATTTGGTAATAAAAACGTAAAAATAAAAGAATCTTAGACAAAAAAGAACGAAGTCGAAAAAACGCATTATAGGTATCAGTCGCTATTCAGTTTGATTTCAACTTTGTTCAAAAATATGCTTAACTTTTTTCAATCAGTTTAGTTTTAGAGATTTTCAACGCTAAAATCAGATGTGTTATTTAACAAAATAACAACTACATATATCTGAAGTCAAATAGTTTAATTGCGACGTCGTTTATAACCTTAAAATATTCGTACACTTGATGTTAAGAAGCTAACATTAAAAATAAACACGGAAGAGTTTCAATACTCGATAAAATGTTCAAATGTCGCACCCGTTACATTTTGAGAAAATTTTAGAGAATAAAGTATACAATATTTGTGCATTTAAAATACGTGCTTGTTTAAGGTTACTATTCAAGTTTTACACAAAAAATTATTACTATATGCTTTCATCCAAAATTTTACAGTATCAACTTTAGAAGCCAACTTGGTCGCATTTGTCGATTTTCTAAGGTCGCGCCCGTTACGCTATTCATGACGTTATAAAAGTTTTTATTGACTTAAGTTAAATACCTAATTTTTGATATACAAACACTTTATTATCATGAAAAAACGCAGTTTTAGTGTCGCACCCGTTACAATGGAAATACCCAATTGCAAAATTATTGGATTTTTTAAAAATTAATTTGCTTAATTGGAGAGACTACAAATAAGGGTTTAAATATCATTTTTTTTTAATTAATTTTATAATGTTATATTTAATTTTTTTAAAGTTTGTCAAAGGAAAACTACACTACAACCCTGTAATTGTTAACCAGGATTGGTAGTTAATAACTAGTACTCTAATTTAGAAAAATTTAAAAAGAACTGGTGGTACAATTGGAAAATTGTGCCTCATAGATGAACTACTGTAGAATTCAATTTTTTTTTTAAATAAACATTTTCTACAATAATTTGTGTTTCCCTATAGGCTGAAGCCCGCGCTGAATTCGCTGAACGTTCTGTGCAAAAACTCCAGAAGGAAGTCGACAGACTCGAAGGTATGAGTTTTTTTGCATTCAAAAATATTCAAAAAATACAACTATTCTGCATATTAGTGGTTATGTTTGTAGAGAAGGGACAGTTTTCAAGCTGTCTAAGATGATAACTAAATATGTAAAATGTCTACTGGGCACTTTTTTTGACAGCGTGTATATATATAAATATATAAATATAATATATAGTACATTAGATGCAAAACTCGGTTTTTGCACATTTAAAAAAATATATATTTTATCTTATTTATGATCATAACTGCACTGCCCACAGCATAACTAAGTAAACCAGATGCATAAGTTAATATTTGTAGAATAAAATACATTTATAAACTTACCGCAGCTGCAAAACTGGGTATTTGTCGGATGCAAAACTCGGTATTTGACCAATCACCAATCACGTCGCTAGTATACGCATTAACTGACGGCATAACAATCACCTGATTAATTGTTATTTTTTTGGTATTTGCACTTTTCACTTGCAAAACTTGGTCTTTGAACGAGGAAGATGCAAAACTATGTTTTTAAATCTTTTGATTTCAATTATTTACTAAACTACTTAATTTTAAAGGACTTTTTTTTACTTTTTTGAATAAGAAATGATGCAAAAGCACGTCTATACGATTTTTGTATTTTTTTTTCAAATATGACCTTATGAGCGGTTTTTCGTGTTTTTCTTAAAATCACTTATCCTGCAAATACAGAGTTGTGCATCTAATGTACTCATATATAAATATATAAATATATAAATATATATATATACAGTGTGTCCCGCTTTTCATAAATCCACCCTTATATCTTAGTTATTAATAATGCGATTTTCTTCAAACTTGGGTGGTGGTTGTGTTGGAAAAATGAAATATTTGCTATAGTAAATTTTTTTATTTATCATTGGCGTACGGTTTTAGGGGGTAAAAGGGGGTCGATTTTTCGGCAAAAGGATATTAGGGCTTATTTTAGATAAATTTTTCAATAATATTTAGATTCAGCATCCCCAAAAACCCCTTAATCCATTCTTAAAATCTCAAAAACTGCTCTTTCATTATCACCAATTAAGCGGATAATTTCAACTTTTTCTTCAATTGTAAGAACTACTCTATGATTTTGTGCCATTTTATGAATGCATTGATAAATGACACTGTTTAACTTTTGACAATTCGTACGAATTGCCAAATGTCAAACAAAAACTTGGGTTTCAAAGAACTCTTTGATTTAATGTGCTCTGGTCAGCGTGATGTCTTAATAAATTAATTAATTTTTTTTCTGCCATAATCAATTTTTTAGATTTTAAGAATATGGATTAAGGGGTTTTTTGGGATGCCAAATCTAAATATGATTGAAAAAATTATCTAAAATAGGCCCTAATATCCTTTTGCCCAAAAATCGACCCTCTTTTACCCCCTAAAACCGTACGCCAATGATAAATACAAAATTTTACTATGGCAAATATTTCATTTCTCCAACATACAATCATCACCCAAATTTGAAGAAAATCGCATTAATAATAACTGAGATATAAGGGTGGATTTATGAAAAGCGGAACACACTGTATATATATAACAAAATAACAACTATATCTGAAGTCAAATAGTTTAATCGCGACGTCATTTATAGCCTTAAAATATTCGTACACTTGATGCTAAGAAGCTAACATTAAAAATAAATACGGAAGAGTTTCAATACTCGATAAAATGTTCAAATGTCGCACCCGTTACATTTTGAGAAAATTTTAATAGAGTATGCAATTTTTGTGCATTTAAAATACGTGCTTGTTTAAGGTTACTATTCTAGTTTTACACAAAAAATTATTACTATATGCTTTCATCCAAAATTTTACAGTATCAACTTTAGAAGCCAACTTGGTCGCATTTGCCAGTTTTCTAAGGTCGCGCCCGTTACGCTATTCATGACGTTATAAAAGTTTTTATTGACATTTTGTTTGAGTTAAATTCCATATTTTTTATACTATTTTTTTATATTAACGTTTCTTGATATATATGAACAAACACTTTATTATCATGAAAAAACGCAGTTTTAGTGTCGCACCTGTTACAATGGAAATACCCTTAAATTATAAAACGCTTCAAGATAAAAATATTTATTGTCCCGCCTCTCCATCAAAATGCATACAATTTTAATAAAAAACAAATTTAAATATGCAGAATAGTATTGTAATAGGATTTTGTTCAGCTTTTCTTACAAATCTGAACAAACATGTTTTTATTGCTAGGCCCTTCGTGACCATTAACATCTTACATTAATATTGTTTTGTTTTTTATTGTTTTATTTTATTTTTTCAATTAACCCAATTCAGACGACCTATTGGCCGAAAAAGAAAAGAACAAAGTATTAGCGGACGAGATGGAAGCCACATTACATGACATTCAGAATATGTAAACGCGCACAATTTGACAGCCTAAAAACGTCAACTAAAAAACGCTACAGATCATTCCAAATAGCAATTTTTTGGACCACACACACACACGCGCATTTATATAAATTTATTGTATTTAAAAAAAAAATTGATTTGAAATTTCATACACATTTCATAAATGAAATTATAAGAAATTGGTGCTTGCTCTTAATTTATATAAATAATTATAAAAATACGTTGAATTAAATTGTTTGAATTGATTTAAGCACAATTATAGTTAGATAGGCTTTATTAAATTATTTTTACTTGATATTAACGAAGCAGTCCATATACATAAATCTGTTGATCTCTTGACATGAGCTGCAATAATTTTGAGGTTTGTTCCGAAAATACCTCTCGATCAACACTGCCATAGAGTTTTTTGGGCAATAAATGCTTAAGTTAGACTCGATGTAAGTCGATTTTATGAACATGTTGTTTATATAAATTTGTGATAAAAATACATTGATTTTATATATTCAAGACTAGAGATTTTCGTCGAGCTTAACGAGCTTCGTTAATGTTAACAAACATCGTTTCAAATTATCACATTTTTTTGTATGTATATTGTATTATATTAATTTCAAATTAGTCACGCAAAGTTCATTTTTGTTATGTGTAAAGAGGACTGATTTATTTAATTTAGTTTTCTTCATTGATTATTTATGTATATTACCCTGTAATTGATTATAAATAATATATAAAAAGATGCAGGATGGGTATTCGGGACGGTCATAGCCTATATGATTGTCGGTCCTTTTTAAATACACATAATGCAAATTTTTATTGAGAAGAGGTAAAATTCGAGTATTATATACACTATTAAATTTTATTTTAAAGTCCTGTTTATATTTTTTCTAATATTACCTATGTATTTATGTAGTTTTACTAATAATACAAATATTTTTATTCATTTTTTTGTTTTTATTTTTTGCATGCCTTTTGTTTTCCTTTATTAACCCAGTCGCAGGTACTATGCTCCACACCTCAAAGTCCCACCACGTAACCACGTACGGAACGCAGTCTTTTGAAAATTTGGCATTTAAGGCTTTTCAGGTTATGTATCTGTCAAAGTATAGTCAATGAAAGAAATAATATTTATAGTGTTACCGCCACAGACCTACAAACAAGATGGACTGGCCTTTCCTATTCAAAATACACAATGTTTTGTTGCCAAGAACTATTTAGATTAGGGGTAAAGGGGTAAGGGGTATTTATAAACAAGTTCCCACACCAGTGGCGTTCTGTTTTTAGGGATAAATAAAAATATTAAATTGTACATTTTTTATTGTGTTTTGCAATCCTATGTAAAAATTATATTTAATATATATAAATATGGTCAATTCTCATATAACTTGTTCCGATGCTGCATCCACTTATTTTTGTGAAAACTAATTCTCGCTCAAGGTTTTTTTTAGTGTAATAAGCATGTAGCATTTCAAGGTAATGGGAACTTAAATTATGACAACCCTAATCTATTAATTTTTTCCTAAAATGCAGGCTTTATGTTGCAAATGTCACATAAGTTACCGGTCACCAACTGCAATATCCTAACATCGATGAATATTTCAACAAAATGGCCGTTCAAACAACTAATGTTAGTGCTTGATTAACTAAAAATAGACTTAAGATTGACAAAAAATTATTTTATCCGAAATAGGCAGTAAAGTAGTCAACAATCGTAAATTAAAATAAATCGGCAGTAAAGTTCTACTTTACTGCCGATTTCGGATAAAATAATTTTTCGTCAATCTTAAGTCTATTTTTAGTTAATCAAACACTAACATTAGTTGTTTGAACGGCCATTTTGTTGAAATATTCATCGATGTTAGGATATTGCAGTTGGTGACCGGTAACTTATGTGACATTTGCAACATAAAGCCTGCATTTTAGGAAAAAATTAATAGATTAGGGTTGTCATAATTTAAGTTCCCATTACCTTGAAATGCTACATGCTTATTACACTAAAAAAAACCTTGAGCGAGAATTAGTTTTCACAAAAATAAGTGGATACAGCATCGGAACAAGTTATATGAGAATTGACCATATATAGGTATAACAAAATACTAACCTTGTCAGTTAGTGTTCCAGATGATGTAGAATCTGGCTGTTTAAATCTAAAATTTAAGTGAATTCATTTATTTATTCAGTTTCTACGCTCCTGGCAGGGTTTGTTTTGTAAATAAACTAACCTATGAAAAGAAAGTTTTAAATTCTTGGATCCAAGTCTTTTACAAACGTAGCACTGCTTCACCATTTTTATATCACTCACTATTGGTATTTTTCACTATAAAATCAAATAAAAAATATTAAATGTTGTGGATTCCAAGTATCTTTTACGTAAAATATAGAAACTTCAAAGTCAAATGTGACAACTGAGGGAAAATATTTATTTTTGTTCCTGGCCACTCTTTTCAATGTAAATAAACCGGTCCATCTTGTTTGTAGGTCTGTGGTTACCGCTTATGTTTAAGCGTTAAAAGTTAATAAATCTTTATAGTATCACAATAACAATGGTTGGTTTAAGAATTTAGAAATATAAATACTGCATTTAATGAAATTCCAAAGTGTAAGGTGCAATATAAGTGATATTTTTGTGCATTGGGTCTACATTTCTCCATAAAATAGTTTTAACTAAACAGCATTTATTAAAAAAAACTAATTTTGTATTTTAAGGTTAGAAAAATTTATTTTGACCAAAATAAATAAGTGGATTAATTGGAAGAGTGTGTTAATATGGTCATAAATAAATATAGGTATACTAAATAATTGTTGAATATGGTTCAAATTAAATTGAAGCTTTTATAATTCTAACGACAAAACTTGTGCATACCTCTCAGCATACCTACTTCAAGTTAGATTATAAGAAAACAAATAATTTTTAGAGAAACTTGCAATGTGAAAATATTTAATACTCCCATGACATGTGTAATTAAAATATTAAAGTTATAATGATTTTTCGATGTAGATCAAATTCAGTCGAAGCTTTTTACTATTTGTATTGACAAAACTTTATGTAACTAGGTACACTTTAAGCTGGATAAGAAAAACTACGACATTTTTAAATACCATATTATACTGTCTTTTAAATAATCCAAAATACATATTTATTTTGGTCAAAATAAATTTTTCTAACCTTAAAGTTACAGAAGTAGACGTTATTTTTGTTATAATATATTAACCTACCTTTAATACAGGTATTCTTATTCCATAATAGAGAAGCTAGATTTTTTTTAATAAATGCTGTTTAGTTTAAATTATTTTATGGAGAAAACCAGATATTTGGACCAAATGCACAAAAATATTACTTATTTGGCACCATACACTTTAGAATTTCATTAAATGCAGTATTTATATTCTTAAATTCTTAAACCATTCATTGTTATTGTAATGTTATAAAGATTTATACATTTTTAACGCCTAAACATAATATTATTTCTTTTGTTGACTATACTTTGACAGATACATAACCTAAAAAGCCCTAAATGCCAAATTTTTAAAAGACTGCGTTCCGTACGTGGTCACGTGGTGGGACTTTGAGGTGTGGAGCATAGTACATAGTACAAAACAGAGATACAACTTACATTTTAAAATTTAAATATGTATGTCGTCTATAGGCAACCAACGTCACATAAGTAAGGGTCATTTCACACCTACTCGGATTTTTCTTAAATTTTGTGTATACTAAACTTAGTGGCATAAATTTAGGAGCAGATTAAGCAAGTCAAAATAAGACGAAAATCTAAATAAATATTTACATACAACTACTTTAAATGTTTTTAAATATAATATACCTTTAAAATCTTAAAGTTAAATTATATCTTCATAAAGTTTCACTTTAAAATACAAATTTTCATTAAAATAATTTATTTAAAAATGATGTCTCTGATTTTTGCTAAATGCCTAAAATTACTGGGCATATTATTTATACCGCTAACCGCCTAAAAGATGTCAAAGTTAAGTTTTCTAAAACCATGAAAAATGGAAAACCCACGACATCAAAAGTTACGCAGCTAGAGTGTCAACCCAATAACGAACCCCTTCACAAGTTTTCAGATAACCGCTTGCCAAATTTAACCCTTTAAAACACAAAACCTAAACAAACAAAATTACTATTCCAGACGAGTTGGTCGCCGAAAAGGAGCGCTTCAAGGAAATTGGAGACGATTTGGACACCGCCTTCGTCGAACTTATCCTTTAAATGTCCTCATTTTCCCGCCAAATCCTGTATTTTCCTTACGATTCCTTGTTTAGTCCGCCCGACACTCCAGACCTGACACTCGTTTACCCAGAGGTGGTTTCAACTCGACTCAATTTAAGAACTTTATTAGGCGAATGCGTCGACAAGGGTTTGTTTGGGGGGTACAGAAGATTGTAATCTTAAACTTAACATCTTTAAGCGTTTATGTACTTTATCTATGTTTTAATTTATGTATTATATAAAAATATATCAGCTATTTATTATTTGATATTTTATTTTGTTTTATTTTTTATCCTTGGTTTATTATATTATGTTTTAGTTATTGTATTGTTTTATATTGCACCCTGATAGCAAAATTTGATTTTAAGAATCTTTTAAGTAGATATGACCCAGAATAATGGAATATTCTTAGAACCTTCCCTTATTGCTAAGAATCTTCTTAGGAACTTTTAAAACATTGAATACATACCCTTTTAATGATGCAATTAGATTCTTAAAAAGCATCCCAAGAACATTTTAAGAATACGTTTTTGGAATGTTCTTAGAAGGTTTTTTATGGAGCTTCTAGGAAGCTTTTGAAAATATTTCCAAATATGTCAGATACCCACGTTCTAATATGTTGTATTCTACATTCGTAAAATTCTTCAGGAGACGACAAATGGACGGCTTTCTGCAGAATGGGACCAACCCACACCATGATGAAACTGAGAAAAAAGCTATCAAAGATTTTAATAATTTTAAAATTACCTGTTAATTTTATGCCGATTTTGGACTTACGGAGGTTTAAGGGATATAATTTAATAATTTCATCAGGTGGATTTTGTGATGTTATGTGTAAGGGTGACGAAAAAAATGGGCTTTTGTTGGTTGGTTCCTTCCTGCAATTTATGAAAACTACTATCTGATGTATGTATGTATTTAAAGAAAAGCGACAATTATTTATTTCCAAACAAAATACAACTGATATTACTATTATAATGGTAATATGAATTAATTTTGATTCTATTTGAAATTCGTCCACATCATCTTCCAACCCCACCTCATCTTGTAAGCTACCAAAAAAATGCATCAAGACTTTATATTTTGCAGAAGCAGGAAATCTTTAAAGACTTTGGTAGTGGGTCGACCAGCCTGCTTTTTTACAAAAAAGATCCAACCCACTTGCAGATATTCTACAGATTCTAATTCTGGATTAGTTATCCACACTATTATTGAATGTTGGTTGGTTCAATGATTAATAGATTTCACTACACTTGCATTTTGGCTATGACCTATTTTGCAGATAAATTATACATACTTAATTAGTTCATAGGCTAAATATCTCGATTTTTTTGGTTTTGTGGGTTGGTTCCTTTCTGCAGAAAGGCGTCCAAATACACCTCACTGTCATACAGGGGCGTGCTGGCTATATCAGACCGGCCTGGGAAATTCAGAAAAATCGGCCAACTACACACGAAAAATGGGGGGTGAACAAAACCAAGTTAAAAAATTTCAAACATTTATTAATAATTAATAACATAAAGTATAAATTAAATTCTTGAAAAACACAGGCAACAAACACAACCAGACAATATTTTACACAATGCTAAAACATATAGCATTGCACATAAAATAAAAACTAATACAAATTATCATCGCTCAGGAAACTTATAAACAATATACAATCTCGAAAAAAGAAACAAAGATGGCAGGCTGGCATGCATGGTATGTGTAAAATAATTATGATATTTATACATAACTCAACTAAAAAAGTTTTTAATTTACCACGTGCTGCGGCATGCTGTCTACATAGCCCTCCGGCACACCGGCCCACTTAGCCCTCCAGACCACCGGCCCACCGGGATTTCTCCCGGTGTCCCGGCGGCCCAGCACGCCCCTGTGTCATAATATGACAGTAAAATGTATTTGCCATCCCCTTAAAAAAATTTGCAACATATTAATATATATTTATTTAAAAATATTAAATAAACAATTTGACCTCTAAAGCATAAGTTGTATGACATTATTTCATAAAAAGTAAAATTGGAAAATTTAGTGGGATAAGTCAGATTAATTTGAAGTTGAAGATAGTTAGGATCATTATACATAAAAATGTTAATTCAGAAATAAAAAATCGGTATACAAATTAATAAATATTTATTTTTAACATATAAAAAAACCAAATATTTCCTTAAAAAATGATTCTTCATAAAAGATAAAACCAAATAGTTCTTCATAAAAAAAAACATTTTTCATTGTATTTAAGTTGGATAGAAGGTTTTATGTAAAAGCCGGATAATTTAGATACCTATAGTAAAAGTATTTTTGTTATCGAATATTGTTTTAATTTGACAAATAACTATGAAAAAATATTTTGGGTTTTGTTTTTTACTTAAGTATAGGTACCTTTATACGTAGATTATGTTATATTTTACTATTATATAGGTACCTAACTGAACTGAATATGCTTAACAGAATGTTCCAGGAATATTCCTAAATGAACTTTCTATAGCAATTACTTTCTCAACATTCTAAGCATATGTTTAGAGTGGATTCATTTTTACCACTAAACTTTGCACCCTCTAAGAACCTGCCTATAGGCCTTAGGAATCCTAAGGCCTATAGGCAGGTTCTTAGAGGGTGCATAATCCTAAGTTAGGATTATGCTATATTTCTTTTAAGCATGTTCTTTAGAAGAAATATAGCATGATCCTAAGAATATTCTCACTGGAAGGTTAAAAAACATTCTTAGAACATGACTAGAAGAAATATAGCCTGATCCTAAGAATATTCCCACTGGAAGGTTTAAAAAACATTCTTAGAACATGACTAGAAGAAATATAGCATGATCCTAAGAATATTCCCACTGGAAGGTTTAAAACCCATTCTTAGAATAAACTGTGCTATCAGGGAAGAACCTGCCCATAGGCCAGTAAGAATGTGCTTAGGATTATGCTATATTTATTTTAAGCATGTTCTTTAGAATAAATATAGCATGATCCTAAGAATATTTTAACTGGAAAATTTAAAAAACATTCTTAGAACATGCCTAGAAGAAATATAGCATGATCCTAAGAATATTCCCACTGGAAGATTTAAAAAACTTTCTTAGAATTAAGTGTGCTATCAGGGAAGACGTCCAGTTTACGACATAAGTCATCTTTAAGACGTCTTTAAGATATCTTATGTTACAAAACACAGCGACTTTAAGATGTCCTTTTAATGGCATTATTAAGTCGTTGCTAAACGTCGTTAAGACGTCTTTAAGATGTTAAAGACTACCTATTGAAAAAGTCTTGGTTATGCATTGCTACATCGCCAAAACTTAAGGTATTATAATACCTATAGGTAATTAAAATTATTTACCCTTTAAAAATTCTTAAATTTTAAACTAAATTATCACCAGCGCCCCCTGTACGTTAAAATCCAAATAATTAATTGTCATTAGTAAGATCTACATTTTGTCGAAAAAGTTATTTAATTTTTAAGATAGTGAAGAAAAAAATAAAAACAAAGTTGTCAATGGACGAGATTTCTTTTTTGAAAAAAGTACTGCATTTAGATGTAGAAATAAGGTAAAAAAGTTTCCATCAATTTCTTGAACCCTTTCAAATCGCGAAACCGTAGTTAAACTATTGTTGCAAGAGATATTTAAAAATTAGAGAAGCAGTTAATAGATTTTATTATCCGAAAACGACTTTTTCAATACAAGCATAAGCAAAGTCATTAATTTCTTCTTTAATTTCACGCACTAATTTACTCATTACTTCCTTGCAATTTTTAAGTTCTTCGTCCAAATATGTGTCGACTAAATCATGATATTCAGGAATGTATTCGTGAATGAGTTGCTTTAATTCTTCAGTTGATGTTTCAATTATATTTTCAGCTTTTTTATACCTTCCGTTTATAATACTGATTACTTCCTTGTGTAGTTTTACTAGTTCAGGTTTTAGTTCGCTAAAAATAGATAGGTACATTTGAATATTTTCTAAATAAAAAATTCTTGAAGCTTCTTGAATACTTACAAATAATTGTCCAATTCCTCAGCCTTTAGTGCAAACTGAGTTTTGTACTGAGACTTGATGTCGTTAACTTGATTTTGAAAAATTTCCTCAACGCTCCTAAATGTTTCCGAAATTTTTGGATGTAGCCTATCTATGATTGTTATGCTGTCCGTCATTGATTTTCAAAACAGCCTATTCGTACTTTTGCCTCAGTTGATTCTTAACACTTTCAGCGATCTCCAACGATTTATCTTTAAGTTCTTGAAGGCGTAATTTCACCTCAAAGTCGTTGTAGTTGCTGTGGTAATCCTTTGGCATTCCCTCCTTTTGTAGAGAGGTTTCGGTAACTGGTGAAGTATTTTTTGCTGAGGCTTTTTGCGAGACTTTCGATACGCTTTTTTCGGGACTTAAGTTGACTGTGGAATCTGCTTTTTCTTGTTTTGCACTTGCTGTATCTTGTTTTGCGGTGGTATCTTGATTAACCTTGTCTATACTATCGGTTACGTCTTTGACTTTCTCTAGTACTTTGGTAAGTTTCTGGGTTATTTTATCTTCAGGAGTGTTGTCTTCCGCCTCTGCTGCTTCTTCCTTCACTACTTTGGTTTTCGATTTTTTATAAATATTTTTGAAACTACGCGTGAAAATATCGGTGGCTGATTTGATCTTGGATCCTTTTGAAGCTACTGAAGCTGAAGAACTCTCGGAATCCAAATTCTCAGCTCTGATATCCTTCTTCGACGCTTTAGCTTCCTTCGCGGCTTCTTTTTCTTCCCTTTTCTCAGCTTTAGCTTTCTCTTTGGCGCTCAATTCTTTTTCTTCAGTTTTACCTTTATCATTGTCTATTAGATAGTTGTCCGTGGTGTCTTGTTTGCAGAGGATCTTGTCGATTTGTAGCTGCGTTTTCTCGGTCAGGTTTTGGATTTCTTTCCTGGCGCGTTCTGCTTTTTCTTGTATCAGTTTCGCGGTCGCTTCAAACGCTTCCTCGGTGCTTCGTTTGCATTCTTTCGCTACTTGTTTTGATTTTTCCATCAGAAATAATGTACACAAACAATTTAATGGTGAAACTTTTTAAAAAATATTTGACGGATAATTTGACAGATTTTTCCTGATGTAGATAACACCTACTTTCTAGATGATATTAATTTAGAACGTCGATCGAGAAAAACATTATTTTTTCAATCCAATTTAAAGTTTACACACATTTAAGTAATTAACTATGGTTTCGCGTAATTTTGGACATTTGTTTGCGAGTGATGCCAGAGTTGAATATATGTATTTTTTTAACCTTGTTTCTACATCTAAATGGTACATTAAAAAAAATCATCCATTGACTGCTGTGGTTTTCAGGCCTTAAGTCACTCTCCTGTGTTAAAAATAGATAAATTACGATATTTTTTAATAATATTTTTATTTAACACGTTCATGGACAGAACTGCAAATGCCGTCGGGCCCAATATGACACGACGGCTATAGCAGTCGCAATTTTCTATTTTTTTTTTCTATTTATGACAAGCCTGCATATGCAGGCGCATTAATAATGACATCCATAGGAAGCTCTGACATATGTGTCCCATGAGACCTCATGTATTTTTGGTTGCAGAATGTAGTTGGTTGCAAATTAATTTTTTAAATTTTAAACCTAAAATTCGGCCGTTTTTGTGACCGATTTTTGTTAGGTGAAGTAAAAATTTGATTGTTGTAAGGTGGAGTAAAATTTTGATGTAACAAAGCTAGTAAGTATAAGTTTTTGAACAATTATATTATTTTTTATCACTATACAGGGTGGTCCAGGATTAATCTGAAAATTTTTAATGATCGATAGAGCCTGAAAAAACAATAAAAACAAACCCAAAAACATTTTTCAAAAATGTATACTAACGGAGATAGTCCTTCAAAATAATTTTTAAACCATTAAACCGATTCTTCTCAAATTTTGTGTAGGTTAAGCAGCTTCCGTCGATAATATAATGAACAAAAGGCCCAGTGGCGGAGATTTTGGGAGAGGTTTCCCCTTTTTACCCTCATATTTTCTACGCCACTGGATTTTATTAGAAAATCATCAGATTTATTTTTATCCTTTTTCAATCTAAAAGCAAAACTTTTATGTTTATTTTTTATCAGATCAACGGAGATATTTCAGTTTAAAATTTCAAAAACACTGTGTACACGGAACTTTTGTTATTATTTTAGTAATAAAAAATTATTTTTTTTTCTGAATGATTGTATTGGGCCAATAAAAATTTACCAATGAAATTATGGAATAATCACTTTCAATAGGGTGGTTTTTGGGTTGGTTTGATTTTGTATTATAATACAATTAAATTATTAATTACAGACGTTGATTGTAATCCTCAATCAACGTTACAATAAAACAACCTAAAAATATGACGGGATCAGTAACAACTGCACGATGACTCCTGGACGCTAGTTTATTTTTATAATATTTTATAAACTGATAACGTGGCATAATTGTTACCAAGTTACCGATTTAAAATAAAATATGATAAAATTCCGTGTACTCGGTGTTTTTGAAATGTTAAAGTCTCCGAAACCACTGATCTTATGAAAATTTAACACACAAGTTTTGCTTCTAAACTGAATAAGAAATCTGATGATTTTCCAATAAAATCCAGTGGTGTCGAAATATGGGGGTAAAAAGGGGAAACCCCCACAAAATATCCGCCGCTGGGCCTTTTGTAAGAAATTTTACCTAGGTACACAAAAGCAGAAGTTATTTTTAAAAAAACGTTTTTTTGCCTTTGAAGAGCTATTAGTGTGTTAGTGTGTATTTTTAAAAAATGTTTTTGGGTTTGTTTTTATTGTTTTTTCAGTCTCTATCGATCATTAAAATTTTTCAGATTAATCCTGGACCACCCTGTATAACTTCTATAACTATATTTTTATCGTTAAAATGTTTTTTCTCGTCCTAAAAACGCAATTTCTTTTTATAAAATAAATTTTATATTATTTATAGGTATTTTATAACTTATAAATTATAAGTATTTATAGATATATATAGACTGTTAAGATTAAAAATAAATATTTAAATTTGAATCTAGACTTTTTGTCATTATTAAAGTATAATTTGTTCACCAGTGACTTTATACTACCATAATGGATAAGTAGAAATGAAAAAAACATGGACGGTTATGACCGTCATGACCAACCACACCTTTTTTTTTTTTGAAAAAAATCTCATAGTGGGGCATGACGGCTATAGCCGTCAAATTTTTTTAAAGGCCATATACAGCCCTAAAGGCATCATCAAGTTACCGGTAAAATTTTTTGATGATAGGATAAAAGGTGTATGAATTATTCAAGTGACGCAGCAGGTCCCGCCAAAAATTTGTCTGTGTCCATCAACGTGTTAAAAACGTATCGATTTGAAATTAAGATAAAATTCAGGGCCGGATTAATGCAATAACATTCTGACATGAAATGAAAATTAATATCAATATAAATATCAATAGTCTATTGACAATAGATTTAACTTTTGTTGTTAATTTAAAAACAGTAAACGATTATAAACCAAGTGATAACTACCTATTGGTATTATAGGAACTGTTATTCAGTAATACGGATTACAAGATTCTATTGGTTTAATGGCTCACCTAGCGTTTTTCCTGTGTATTAATAACACAATACATGTGGGGTGCGTATAGGGGACATGTAGGGTTTTATAAAAAAATTGCAATAAAATAAATAAAAAAATATTTTATTTTTATATAGAAAAACAAAACAATGAAGAACTAACTTAATTTTTACAATTTTTAAATAACCTAAACAGAATTTTACCATTTCGGCGTTGATACTGCACTGCCCTACCAAGGGCGCCCACAGAAAATTGTCTAGGGGGGGCAAAAACTATAAATGAGAAATTTAAGACAAATATTTTTTATCAAGCAATTTAGAAACATTTAGTTGAACCTGCTTAACTTCGTTATTTATTTTTGTACCAAGTTAAGAGCCAATTATTGGGACCAAGAAGAAACGAAAAAATACTTTTTACTACCTTATTTTTATTTATGAATAATAATTGGCAATAATAAAATGTAATTTTACATAGTGTTTTTGTAGAAGTAGGAAGTAGGTAATTGCTATAAGCAATTGGCAATTTGCTAAGTCAAGATCTCTGATATATTAAAAATATGATCATATTTTCGAAAATGAGAAGAAATTTTCAGGGGGGCAAGTGCCCCCTCTTGCCCCCCCTCCATGCGCCCAATGCAGCAAAAGGTCACTTTGACGCAAAAATAAAATATATATGGGTTAATTATCTCAATTTTTTTATTTTTGTGGGTTGGTTGGCGCGCCAACCAACCCACAAAAATAAAAAAATTGAGATAATTAACCCATATATATTTTATTTTTGTGGCTTATTTTTATTTTGCTGAAAGGCGTCCAAGTGACACGATATTTTGCATTATCAACGACGATTTACAATTTTCCTGCATTTAATATCGGAAAAGGACTCAATAATATTTTCAAAATTTATTTTATTGACTTCTGCTAAAAAAGGGTATTACACGTTTGATAATTATAATTATTTATTTTAATTGATTAATTTTAATATTCAACCTACTTGTGGCGCTGTAATTTAAAATTTTACCATTTTTTAAAGGTTAAAAAGTCGAAGAAGCAACGTTGTCTTATAATTTTGAGTATATCACGTTAAAGTACCGTTATTTGATATATGGGCGTTTCTCTGTAAACTGGGCAACTTGAAGTAAGAAATTGTCTAGGCAAGTTTTTTTGTTATATTTTTGTTGTATTTAATAAATGTTATTCGAGGAATAAATATCGGTCTATTTATGAGTATTCGGCAGATGAACCAAAAATATTCCTATTACTTTGGAAAACATTGAGCATTTTCTGAAAAATCTATACAGGGGACTGTTTATAAAATCCGGAGACAAAGTTTAGATGACTTTTTTAGAATTACAAAATAATAATTATAAAAAATAAATAAGTCACAGTAACAAGCAAACAATATTGGTTGAATAATTAAACAATTAGGTTGATTCCAATAGTTACTGTCTTTAATTAATTTAGTCTGAAGTGACCATTTTGCTTTGGTGACACGTCAGGGGACTGGTTTTTAAGGACTATAAAAACGATTTTGATACATTAAAGTTTATTTTATTGGATTTTGAACGTCGAGCATAGGTATACCTAATCTATAGATTAGGTTATTATCTTTTGAATTTATCTACGAAATATTTATGATCTGTTATTTTTCTAAACAATATTAGCTTGAGACAATGAGTTGCCCAGTTTACAGAGAAACGCCCATATATTATATATATAAACTTCTACATTCAAATTATGTTTCTACGAGAGACACCATTTTTAAGTTAGGCCTTCAAAGAGCATAATACTAACGTGATTTACAAATTATATATTCTTTTATCTAGTTTTATAAGATAACATATAATGTATTATATATTACATATTAAACATTATATATTACATATAATATATTATATATAACATACCTACAATTCTTACATATTTATTTAAAAAAATCGCCATAGATGGAGCTAAAATGAGTTTTATTTATAAATTTTAATTTTTTTCAAGTTTACTAATTTTGATCATAGTAGGCATCATAAACTTTTCTCTATGGTAACCTACCATTGGAAGCATGAAAGATAATTTGACAGTTCAGTTTATAAGTTATAAACTCAAAACATTAATTTATTAAAATGAATAAACTAAATAATAATTATAGACAGTGTCAGTTAGAAATTATAATTTACTTTAATTTTATTTTTTGCTCGACAACCAAGCTTCAATTTATTTTTTACTCGATAAGCAAGCTTCAATTTTAATTCCAAACTGAGGAAAGTAATATTTACCCAATAAATAAATTACTTTATTCTAATTTAATTTTTTATGTTGCCATCGGCTATTTAGATATACTTATCCATATTTTTTATTCAGTTGTTTTTCGATTTTTTGTAATTAGTTATTTTTTTATTTTAGATATTTTATTATATTTAATATAATGCTATTTAAGGTGTTTCTGGAGAAACGCAAACGATATGGATTTAAAATTTTAATAGCATACATATTAGGGTGTCCCTTATTTTTATTTTTTTACGCATACCCTCTAATTATGTTTATTACTTGTTTATATACTCCCAGTAAAAATTTCAGCTCATTCTATAAACGGGAACCCGTGCCGACTTGCATCTAAAATCTCCGTTAGGCGCGCGCGGTATTTTGTAACACGAAACACTTTAATAAGACTGTATTTTTCTAATGATTTTATTAAATATGATTACTAATTAATATTATTGCTTTTGTTTCTATCATTTGTTTCACTAATTTAGTTGATTTTATCCCTTAAATATATTAATATAATAATTAGTATTGCTAAAATATACTGTTATATAAAATTTCAGCTTTTTATAAGCATTTCTTTTCTTGATGTCCTCCCAAAAATATTTTAGACAGTTCAATAAGTTTTCGGTAGTCATCTCTCACAATAGACTCTTTTAGTTATTTAGAGTAAAACCCATTAAGTTTATCAATTTCAGAGTTTACGGCCTATTCACCAGACCCTTCCGGATAACTAGCCACTCCCTGTGAACATATACATTTTTATCAAAGTATACACATAAATAAAATTATATTTTAACATTTGTCAATAATTTATAATATAAGGGTCGCATAATAACAAACACAAAACGACTTACGATCGAAGACCTCGCGACCAACCGTGTTACAAAATACCGCGCTCCTAACGTTGGCTAACGGAGGGTTCAGATGCAAGTCGGCACGGGTTCCCGTTTATAGAATGAGCTGAAATTTTTACTGGGAGTATATAAACACGTAATAAATATAATTAGAGGGTATGCGTAAAAAAAATAAAAATAAGGGACACCCTAATACATATACAATTTGGTTTAGACTATACCTAAAGTCAGTAGTTTTCAATATATTAATTTTTTTCGTTAAAAAATTGGGGTTGGAATTTTTGGAATATTAAATAATTTTTTAAATAAAGGTTTTTCAACAAATACCTTAAGAAAAACCACTTGAAATTAGGCAAACTTCAATCAATAATATCGTTTTTATTATAAATGTAAAACTCTGTATGTTTTAACATAATCAAATAGAAAATTAAAGAATCTTTCGATTTCCTAAAGTTAAAATTTCAGACATTTAACAATTTCTAATATTTTCAATACTATTATGTATCAAAAAACCTGTGAAATTCTACATGTGGTTTAAAGTGGCAATATCCATGGTTACCACCAAATATGTCATTATTTAAAATTAATTAAAATATTTGATAAAAAAATATTGACTTTAGGTATAGGATATGGTATAGCCATTTTACTCAGAATTTTATATAGAATTAAAAAATGTAAAAATATATGAGGTGTCCTGTTTAAAATAACAAAGTTAAAGACATTTTCGGTAAAACAGGAAGTATTATTTTTTTCAAAATAATTTAGGAAAAAAGTCTAAATCGAATAATTTAGGCTAATAAAATTTTAAATCGATGTCTTTCGCGATTCCCTAGAAACTTCTAGCGGACTACGTACGTGAAACACACTGTATATTAAACTTCATTTATGTGTTATGCTATACTTAATTATTAATAAAAGATACAAAAATATTTGTAAAAAAATGACAAAATGTACTAAACTAAACATTTATGAATACTGCTACTGCTAATTCAAAACTGATCCTGGGCATAGAAACTTCATTTGCATAAAAAAGTTAATATATAAAAAATAGTCAAATATCAATACGTATTATACATAAATTTATAAAAAAGAGTTGCTTCTTCGATTATTTACCCTTTAAAAATTGTTAAATTTTAAACTTATTACTTATCACCTTTTTTAACACAGTGAAGAAAAAAATAAAAATGAAAAAGTTGACAATGGACGAGAAGTTTCAATAGATTTCATGAACCCTTGCAAATCGACCGTTCGATCCTTTCGCGAAGAAATATGGAAAAAAGCACAATTTAGCACATCTTTTAAAATTTAATCGCATACATTGTTATTTATTTTTTATATTTTTAATAGCATTACTAGCAGCCTTATCAACCTCCTTTTTCATAATTTTCGCTTCGCTTTTTATTTCACTCTCTATTTTTTTAATGTGCTTACTGGTTTTAGCAACAAATCCTTGCAACGATTTTTTTATATCTTTAGCTGTATTAGTATCAAATGGATCCAAAACAATCATAAACGTATTGTAATTCTTCACTAACTTATCTTCAAGTTCTTTTAAAGCTTTTCTTATGTTACCAATAATGTGGTCTATCTTTGCATAAGCCGTCTTACTGTTATCTTTTATGTCTTCTGGTGTGCTGAAATTATACAATTTTATATTGGAAGTAGTTTCTTCCCGTAAGAAATTAAAATTAACTTAAAAGGTTTTCATATTTAAAACGTGACGACCACATATTTTTTTGACAAAAATAAGTTGAATTAAGTAAACTCATCTTAGTGCAAAGTTGCATAGTTTGGGCGCTATACGGCTATGATTTAGGACCTAAATTTTAGGTCCTAGCAATTCTATTATTTATATTTATACGATTTTTTTAAATATTTTGTTTTCTTATAAATCTAATTAATTTTTTGATATGGGTGATTCTACAAAAGTTGGGCAACTTTTGGCTTCATTTTATATAGTTTTCGGAGAAAATTAAACAGTATTTTGTTATGAGAACATAGATTATATAATAAATATACTGTTCCAGACCGGGCCAGTCACTTTTTCAAACAGTTTCTGAAATATCTGTGTTTTATAAATTTGAATGCAAGGGTACTAATTAAATACATAATTTATTGGAAAATATAAGATTTATTGCAACTTTGAGCATATTATACATTAAATACTTTAAAATCAAATAATACCAAACATTTTGGGTATACCAATATCTCAATTATTAATTATGGTTCTGCGCAAGCAGAATTTAATTTGAGGTTTGCGAAAAAAAGATAACCGAAACATCGAACATGGAACTAACGACACGGTACTTATGAATGGGATACAAATTTGAGATTATAATTCGGAATTATATAAATTACAATGAAATTTATATACGTAGAAAATAACTACTCACCACAGTACTGAAGTTTTGACTGGAACTATACGTGCATTCACTACAACTTCGCCGCTTGCATTGTTTTCAAGATGACTGTCGTGCAAAGGGCGGGCTCTGAAGGTAATTTTTGTACCAACACTTGAGTTAAGACAAAGACGATCTTTAAACTTTAATATTTCGCAGGAATTTTGAATTTTAACATTGGACACAGAATTGACGGGTAAAAGTGAGTACAAAGATTATCAATATTTTAAAAATTGCTATTATTCGAATCTATGATAAAATATGAAAAATACATTATTTAATGTTTTATCATTGAGTACTCAATGGTTTTATAGTTTGTAGTAAAATTGAAAAATTTAAGATAAATTGAATATACACTCACGTGCAAAATAATCGATCCACACAAATTTTCTATGAATTTCAATTGCAAATAACTTTTTTATTTGATGTCGGATTTAAACGAATATTAAAGAATATTGTAGATAAATTAATGAACAATCGCTCACATTTAAAAAAAAATACTAAAAAATATGGTCCATCCATAGCCTATGGAGAATGACAGTGACAGTTTTGTTGAATCATCCCATACTTGGACAGGTCATATACAGCTTTCAAAAGCTATCAAATTGTTTTTTGTAAATTAATGTGTTAATTTTGAGGTGTCTTCTTACTTTTAACAATGTCTCCGACTGATGTTGCCCTTTGTACTTTACTTCTTAAGACGTTTAAAACACTTGCCACGTAATACTGTGACCGTCGATCCTGGATTAAATTAATAGCTCTGGCAACATCAGTCGGAGACATATCCATTTTATAAAGTAAGAAGACACCTTAAAATTTAAACATTAATTTGCAAAAAACAATTTAATAGCTTTTGAAAGCCGTGTATGACATGTCCAAGTATGGAATGATTCAACAAAACTGTCACTGTCATTCTCCATAGCCTATGGATGGACCATAGCAACCTTAGTTCTTCATACAGAAAAATATTGGAAATTGCAATGTTTTTTAAAAAAATCCATATTTTCCACAAAAATAAATATATCGAGGTGAACCAAAAACAAAACTGTTAAGAATAGATGTTACTTGGTAAATAAAACTTAATTTAGAACAATATACGGTTTTTCCACTCTACAGAGTGTCTTAAACTTATGGTAAAAAACATCTTTTTGTTTAAACCTGTATTTTATAAACGTACGTCTATTTTTTAGTATTTTTTAAAATGTGAGCGATTGTCCATTAATTTATCTACAATATTCTTTAATATTCGTTTAAATCCCAAATCAAATAAAAAAGTTATTTGCGATTGAAATTCATCGAAAATTTGTGTGGATCGATTATTTTGCACGTGAGTGTATTTTAAAATAAAATCACTCAAATATTTGATTCAGGAGTTGTGACACGCCAAGGTACTGATGTTTTGAATATTTATTATGTTTTTCTACGAACGTGCTTTTGAAAAATACATTAAAATTGGGTGGACAAGTTAAAAAAAAACCTGGATCTTTTGTAATATATGTACAAAAATATTTTCAAAAAATATTAAAATACCTACTCTATTGACTGATAACTTCAAGTTGTCCAACTTTTGTAGAATCACCCATATGTAGAATGATTGTAATATTTTCACTTTATTCTTTGGGATTTTTGATATTGTTAAATGAGATTTCCAAAAAATTATATTAAAATGCCGTGATAGATTTTAGATTATTTGTTTTATGTCAAAAACAAAAAAAACACCTCATTTTAAATATTTTATTATCTCTTTTACATTCTCATTTGCACCAGCAACTTTTTATTCTTCTTGTTTGCCTTTTTGGCCGCTTTACTTGCAACTTCAAGATCCCTCTTAATGTCTTTAACAGCTTGCTTTAAATTTCGGATTACTTCAAGAGCGACCCGTCCTAAAAATCCTAAAATAACGTCTATGCTTCTTTCCATTTTTGTGGGGCTTCCCCCGAAATACTCAGCCATTGCAATCATTATGCCCTTAATTATATCACCTGATTCCTCGTTTAGAAGAAGAAGGCTCTGAGAGGCTGTGTATAGGATGTGTTCGATTTTTTCACATGCCTCTTGATTCACGCAATCTATGGGTTCCGTTTCGCTAAAAACAGTTGTGTTTTTAGGGTTTACTAAAAACACTTTTAACATATTTGGAATAAAATATCTAAATACATGGGTGATTCTACAAAAGTTGGGCACCTTTTGACCTCATTTTGTTTATATAGTTTTCGGAGAAAATTAAACAGTTTTTTTATGAGAACATAGATAATATAATAAATAGACTGTTCCAGACCGGGCCAGTCACTTTTTCAAACAGTTTCTGAAATATATGTTTTCTAAATTTGAATGCAAGGGAAGTGACGAGTATATCAGGTTACTAATTAAATATATAATTTATTGGAAAATATAAGATTTATTGCAACTTTGAACATATTATACATTAAATATCTTAAAATCAAATAATACCACACATCAGTGGCGGCTGGTGGATTTTGGGTATACCGATATCTCAATTATTAGATATGGGACCCACACCAAATTTATATGAGTTTACAATGACATTAAACAAACAAATTCCGCGAAAGCAGAATTTAAATTGAAGTTTGAGAAAAAAAGATAACCGAAACATCGAACATGGAACTGACGATACGGTACTGATGAATGGGATACAAATTTGAGATTATAATTAGGAATTAAGTATTTTACTGATATTTTTTATTAGTGGATGCTACTTATCAACAAATCACATATAGCCTTATATAAATTACAATGAAATATATATACGTAAGAAAATAACTATAGTTATACTCACCACAGTACTAAAATTTTGACTGGAACTATACGAGCATTCACCACAACTTCGCCGCTTGCATTGTTTTCAAGATGACTGTCGTGCAAAGGGCGGGCTCTGTAGGTAATTTTTTACCTAAACTTGAGTTAAAACGAGGACTTGACGTTTAAACTTCAATATTTCGCAGGAATTTTGAATTTTAACATTGGACACAGAACTGACGGGTAAAAGATTATCAATTTTTTAAAAATTCCTATTATTCGAATCTGTGATAAAATATGAAAAATACATTATTTAATGTTTTATAGTTTGTATTGAAATTGAAAAATTTAAGATAAATTGAATATATTTTAAAATAAAACCACTCAAATATTTGATTCAAGAGTTGTGACTCGCCAAGGTACTGATGTTTTGAATATTTATTATGTTTTTCTACAAACGTGCTTTTGAAAAAATGCATTAAAATTGGGTGGGTGGACAAGTTAAAAAAACCTGGATCTTTTGTAATATACTAAAATATTTACAAAAAATATTAAAATACCTACTCTATTGACTGATGACATCAAGTTGTTCAACTTTTTTAGAATCACCCATATACATAAGTTTAAGAAATATCGATAAAAACAAAAATTTATCAGTTAAATTTTGAAATATTGATTAATTAATACTTAACCTATAATCGTTGAAATTCGACACAAACTGCAGAAAAAATTTTCCGAAATATTTATAGAAAAAATCCTAGTTAATACTAAGTTCAAAATTAACAATTTTAAAGGTCAAACGGCCATATTAAGTATATTTCAATTTTGTTAAAACCTAAATTTGCGGTATTCTCTATACCTAATAGACTTAGTTTCACACATAGACAAGGGATATGTTGGGGGAGTGCACCGGTATGAGTTTTACACTGACTTTCGACATCATGCCTCATTAAGTATTGGCAGCTCTTTATAGATATAATTCTCAATGACTTGTGGATTTTTTATGAAATGCCTTAATTTAAAAAAATATCCTAATTCTTGTGTAAATAAGGTCTCACTATTTAAAAAAAAATTATAAACCAACATGGACTTTTTTGAGGTTATTTTTTTAACAAACCGTGTAAAGAGTCTGTATTACAGTCTGCAATTTTACTTGCAGCAATCTTTCTTGCAGAAATCTCTTGCATGCAAGCCTTGCAATTCCAATTCAGTTGCATGATACCAACAGAAGAAAAATATAAAATATTATAAAGTATAATTAAAATTAAACTTAGCTCCTGCCACACGACATTATAATACCTAGTTAATACGATATAAGTGGGATAAGAGCTTTATTAACGTACGCATGCGAAATTTGCCCAACGAGTGCGTAGCACGAGTTGGGCAATCGCAAAAGTACGTTAATAAAGCGTTATCACACGTATATTGTACAAATTTTTATCTACGCCTCTAAATGAAAAAATAAACGGTAATTATTTTTGTCTAAGACTTAATTTAGGGTTATTTTGACATTTTGACTTTTTTATTTGATTGGTTAAAAACAGAGAAAAACGCGTGCGTTAATGAACTTCTTATCTCACTCAAAATGAGTGGGATAAGAAGTTCTTATCTCACTGGCGTAGATAAAATATATTATGTTATAGAATTTAGAATACCAAGTAGGTAATAACACAGAAATGACTTCAAAAAACAAACCAGCGTTTCTAGGGAATTTAAAGTGTGGATTGGTATGAAAAAAAAGACCAATTTTCCCCCAGACTTGCATGCAACTGGTAATAAAAATCGAGCAGGACCGATATTTTGAAACTGCAATAGACTTGCAAGAGTATTGCATATTGCACGTAGGATTGCATAAGTAATATAAGGCTGTATTACACGAAGGCAATGTTCAAATTTTTTTGGGTCCATGGAAAAAACAGGTCCGATTTAGTCCAAAAAGGCGTTTTTCATATAAAAAATTATTATACATTAAACATACTTATTACAAACGTATAATTGTAATTGTATAATTGTATAATTTTTCGAACCAATTATAGAAAAAACTAACCTGGTAGTGTCGTTTTCCAAAGCCTTAAATTTGGCTATCGTCTCATCTTTAACATTAATGATTTGAGTTTTGGCCATTTCAGACGTTCTCTTAAGGGATTCCACGGCTTCATCTTTTAAAGAATTGAAATTAGTTTGAATAGTGTCCCACGTGGGTTGCATCTAACAGGTAATTTTGACGTTGACAATAAGTCGCTTTTAGAAAAAATAAATACCTCGAATGTTTCCAATTATGTCCAAAGTAAGGACCATGTAATCCTCGAGTTCTTTTGAATGGTCGAATTTTGATTCAAACAGCAGATCGCTGGTAGATGCGCTACGCATATTTTCCAAAAAGTATTGTCACAATTTTAAAATTTTTGAATGACAAGAATTTTTTGTTTGGTTAAATTTGAAACCCGAACCAAAAGTAAAATTGTTATTAATTTTTTGAATTTCATTCCCTGTATATAAAGGGTGGGCCATTTTTATGTTGAATTATAAAATAGCAATGAGAACAAGAAAAACTGATTTTTTTTCAACGAATTTTGCTTTATTTGATACAATGTTTCTTCCGATTAAGTTTGGAAAATGATTTTATTTAAGTGGCCACCTCAGCTGGCTCGGCAGTAGCCCATTCTGGAACACCAATTTTCGAGCACTTTGTCAAAAGTTTGCTGCTCTATTTAGGCATTTTGAGCTTGAATGATTTGTTTTAAATGGTGAATAAGCTTTGTTACGGCGACGTGTGGATTTTCCGTGGCCCAAATCCTACAGTTTTGCTTGTTGACATAACCTCCGAGGTAAAAATGCGCCTTATCCGAAAAGATGATTTTTCTTGCAAAATTAGGGTCATCGTTCAACTGGTTTAAAGCCCACTCAGCAAAGCGAAAACGTTGTGGATGGTCAACTTGCTTTAACTCCTGGACTTTGTATGCAAACATACCGAGGTCTTTGTGCAGAATCATCCTCAAAGTGGTACGGGAAAGGCCGAGTTGTTGACATCTGCGCCGAGTTGATGTTGACGCGTTCATGCGTACATTTTTGGCCACAGCAGTGATTGCTCCAGGTGTACGTCTAGGACGAGCATGCGAAACATGTTTTATGTCCACCAGCATTCCATTTCTGCGCAATTTTTTGATCAAATTTGTAAAACTTTGGTTTGACGGCGCCTCATTTCTTTCAAACGCAATTTTCTTGCCGTCTCTGCGATCACAGTCACATTCAAAGTAAGTTTTGAGTATTTCGAAACTTTGATCCAAATTTATTCGGTGCATATTTTGTAATCGGAAGGTTAAAACTAAACCACTATCAGCAATTCATGGCGCTTAAGTTGAAAGCTTCATTAATAGCACGTAGTTTAAAATTCAACTTATAGATGGCCCACCCTTTATATATTTTTGATTATTTGTGAAATTTGTATAATATTTGTATAAGTACACAATCCACACAAAAAGGTCTGTTCTATCTCGCACTAAAAATACTAAAAATCACTACAACACTGCACAGACTTTAACGGCGCACAGTGTTTCAATTCTGGAAAATATCGGCAAAACCTCAAAAATTGACTTTTTTTTCAGGTAAATTTTGAGTTAAAAGTTAAAGAATAGATGGGTAGATAATACCTGTCTCCACGGGATCGCTGCGGAAAAGTGTTTATTGTTTAAAGTGAATAACTTGTTTTTGGTGTGTCCGATTGTTATGCGGTTTGATGAAGGGTGATCTTCAAGGTATCTAAAATTCAGATATGTATTTGTTTTTCGTAGATTTTGCTTGTACAACGGGTTATTGTAACCGATAAGATCGGTCTGTTAAAATCGCAAACTTTGAATCGACCTTTTAGAACAATGGAGCTACAAAAATTGTAATGAATTGTAAGGCATCAGTTCAAGAAACGTTGAATAGCTTAGAGTTTTGTCTATTAAGCCATCAATAAATTATCTGCCCCAACTTGCCCCCGGCTCTTTAAAACGACATGTTCTTGGGCGCTCAGGCACGGTTGTGGTAAAAAACCTCGCGATTTTAAGCCTATGTTGAGCGCTTATCTGTGATTTTGCTTTACCAAATATAAGATTTTTTTTATTTCTGGGTTGCATTTATGACGTTTACTCGATTCACTTGGATTTAACTCAAAAAGTTTATTACAACAGCGCACTTGCGTAAATCGTCAAAATGTCAAAATAACCCTAAATTAAGTCTTAGACAAAAATAATTACCGTTTATTTTTTCATTTAGAGGCGTAGATAAAAATTTGTACAATATACGTGGGATAACGCTTTATTAACGTACTTTTGCGATTGCCCAACTCGTGCTACGCACTCGTTGGGCAAATTTCGCATGCGTACGTTAATAAAGCTCTTATCCACTTATATCGTAAATAACTACCGATTTTACATATTTAACACCGATTTTACATATTTAATCCACCTCTTGTAGGTGCGTTAAAACAACTTCGCATGCGCATTGTAGTGTGCTAATTAATTTGAATTGTGGTTATTTGTGTTGACAATTTTTTTAGCGAATTAAGAAATCGTTGTAAAATATTAAGAAAAAGAAATAATACAAATTTAAAATACTTAGTATAAAATCTGTTATATTTAAATTTTATAAAATTATGAAAGTTTCTCGGGAGAAAACGATGGAAGATGTTTTCCATTGGCTTATATATGGCATCTTCCGATCCGTATATTTCTAGCTTTAGAAAAATTGCTCCGAAAAAGAGCAAATCTTTGTCCCGCGAAGCAATAAAACTGTTGCTATCTTCTGATGGTTTCTCATGCTCTGCTAATGATACAACGAGCGAATCCAGTGACGGAGATTGTTTAATACAGGGTGTTATGTAATTAATGTTATATATTAAAATACTGAATACCTTTTGACATAAGGAATAAAGGAAACATATTTTAAAAAGCATTTTTCCAAAGATAAAGAAAAAATATGCATTAGAAGTTTTTTATATTTTTTGTGATACGCCACTGGTTACACACTTGTTTATCTCTGCACACCTGTATTTTGTGAGTACATAGATACCAACCAACAAAGTAGCTATGCGTTGCCAGATGTAAAAAATTGTTACTAAAAATTTTTCTTGCAAAAAATAAATAAAAACTCAATAAATACAAAAGTTTTATGCCCTTAAAGCTCTAATACCCTTCTGTATTTATTTACTGATCCAGCTATTAGCTTAAGCAATGATTAGAAAATTTAGTACCTTTGAAATTTGAAATCCATAACCACAAAATTAATTTTTTCATCAGTTTTTTTCCCTGTTTACTCAGATGAAATTGGGACCAGTTCACAGGTTAAACTTTAAACATTTAATTTGTGTAAATAAATCCAAAAGCACTTCCCTTAGTTAAGATATTTACAATTTGAAAACATAACCTAAAATTTAAAAGAAATGCACTAGATTCTGTCATAAAAGTTGGCAGATTTTGTTTGAATTTACCTTCAGTACAAAAATGAAATAACCAACAATTAATAAAAACGCCAAATTGACAATTTGCATTGTTAATTTTGTCATTTTTGTAATTAAGCTAAATTTAAACAATGTTTGTCAACTTTTTTGAGAGATTTTGGAAAAACTCTTGTTACCAACCATAACATAATAAATCCACCAGATTAACCTAAAGTTCCTAGTCGATCAGTGGCGTACTTTTTGGTAGGATAAAGGTTATTATAAATTATTTTTAGACTTTGGAATTTAGAAAAAAAAAGTTTCAGGTGCTTCTTTATGGACCCTAAGGAACAACCCATTTTAATATATAACATTAATTACATAACACCCTGTATATATGTGGGTATTAAATGATATCATATAAATGTAATTATAATTTATTTTATTTTACTTCCGATTGTTGACTACTTTACTGCCGATTTTGGATAAAATATTTCTTATATTTTAGAACAATATTTTGATTAGTTTGTTGCATTATTTAGTAATATTTTTTAATAATTTTTCATTTTCAGATGAACTTATCGAAGAAAAAAGCAAATTTAAAGCAATTGCAGACGAAATGGACCAAACAATGGCTGACCTAGCTGGATACTAAGAATCTACACTGCCTTTTTTATTAAAGAAACTTAGTGAAAAAATGTGCTACCAGTTTAATGCATTTTTTAATTTTTTACATTTTAGTTAGAAAAATGCACATAGAGTAGGAAAAAATTGCTTTTTAATAAATGAGAAACAACACAAAAAAGAGTTTTCTCTAATGAAAATTGTATTTTCTCTAATGAAAAAATATTGATCAGTGAAAAATATTTTTTCCCATATTTTCTTTCTTCTATGAAAAAATGTTTATTAGTAGTATATTGTAGACCTAGGCGGTAAAGTGACATTTCTCCAGGCGAAAAAATCACTTTACCCCACAAAATGACTGCAATAATTTGACATTTAAAATTATTTTATTTTAACATTTATGCGAACCACAATTTGCTGCATTTGGTGCGTCATTAAAGATAGCAACGGATGTAAAAGTCCGTTGCTATAGACGTAATAGTTCATTTTTTCTGCCTAGCCATTTGTGGGTGTTTTGGAAGGCTAGCCATGGAAACACCTACTTTCTCGTGCCAATGGACACGGTAAAATTTATCATCATAGTGTAGAAAGAAAAATATGTTTTTTCTAAAGAAAACATAAATTTTCTCCAATGAAAAATATGTTTTATCCAATAAAAAAATAAATTTTCTAATATGAAAAAATATATTTTGAGTTGATCTCTGGCAACGAAAATGTGAGATATTTAATATTACATTCGTTATATTAGGGATTAGTACAATAATATGCTCCAAAATTAATTACTATTATATAAATATATTGATATATATAAATATCAGTGGCGGCCCGTGACATTTTATTTTGGTGAGGCAGAGGCAGGGTTTCGCCCTAATTTAAAGGCGAAGAAATTTTTTTAAACCCAACTCTAAAAAACTGACGTCGCAGTTCACAACCTATACTTAAAACTAAGTAAAAAACTTAGACTGTGGTGGGGAAGGAATCCTCTACTTTGTCAATGAAATATGTTTTAATGTAAAAATGACGTTTATTTTAAATAAACCTCATTTTTGTCTAATTAATATTTCATTGTTCAGCAAGAACCACGTGAAGGTCAACAATATCGGTACAATTTCTAACCGTAATATCCATAATGACTAAATTCACATAAATCACCAAGTTCAAT